CTTTGAGTCCCACCTCAGCCCATTGATGGCCAACTTCCTCCCCTGGCTCACTGCGCGCACTGCATGGCGGGGGCGCGAGGCGGTCGTGGCCGCCATGATGCGTTACTACGAGCAAGGGGGGCATGCGGACGGATCGGAGATGACCCAAGTACGTTGGAAGACGATGAGAGAGGCCGGAATGCCCGTCGAGGATATTGCGCGGGAGGAGGTGGGCATGGGCATCGGGCTCCTTTCTAACACGGTTCCCGCCGCCTTCTGGGTGCTGTATGAGCTATACTCCCGACTCGACCTGCTGGAGGAAATCCGGGAAGAGATTCGCACGAATGCGCTCCGCGTGGACGCCGACCAGCGACACATTATCGATATCTCGGCTCTACGCGACAACTGCCCGCTCGTGGTCTCGAGCTTCCAGGAGATCCTACGCGTGCAGTCTGCATCTGCCCCGACGCGATTTGTCATGGAAGACGTGATGCTGGCGGATCAATATTTCCTGAAAGCGGGCAGCATGATCAACATGCCGGCCAAAACGTTGGGTCGCATGCCCGAGGCATGGGGAGAGACGGCGAGGGAGTTCGATGCGCGGCGATACATCCGGTCGGAGGAGAAGAACCCGCGGCGCACGGCAGGCTTTATGACGTTTGGAGTGTCCCCCGTTATTTGTCCCGGACGACACTTTGCCAGCTCGGAGATTCTCGGATTAGCCGCTCTGTTGGTGCTCCGATATGATATGGCGCCGGTGGATGGGCAGTGGCGCACGCCGCGGTTGAACTCGATGGCGGTCGCGTCGAACATGCGACCGATCAAGGATAAGTTTCCAGTGACGGTGCGTCCACGCAGCGAATACGCGGGAGTGGAATGGGACTGTACGGTGCAGCCCGGGAGTGGAGTGTTTAATTTGATGGTGGGATAGGAGTTAGTAAGTAGTTTGTACGATGTAGAAATGGGATGAGTAACTGCCCATAAAAGTCTGCCATGGACCATGTGGCTGGTTATACCTTATTTGTTTTCTTCTTTCCGTGAGATAAAGTTCCGGTCGCTGCTGCAGTTGAAAGTGAAAGAAAGGAAGGTGATTGAGCACGTGGCCTGCGTATGCCCGAGTCATGCCCCGAATTGGGGCGCACCGACCCAGTTCATTGATTTTGATCGAGTCCGATCCAACCAGGAATACTACTAATCGCTACTACTCCGTTGAGCCACCTCTGGTAGTACCACTTATCCTCAAACTGAAGCATCCATGCGTTCATTCATCCTAGCAGCAGCTGCGCCAGCTGCAGGATGCGCCAGAAAGGGCGGGCACGTGGGCCCAAGCGCCGTCCTGATTAGAAGTTGAGAAGAAGCCCCCATCGATCCCACGTGCCTGACAGACTGGCAGTTCTATTCTTGCCCCTGATTCCTTGACAAAGAGAATCAGTAAAGCGTCGGTAAATGAAATAGAATGCTCTTGGTTCAATACCCTCTTCTGATATCTGGAATAGGGTGTACAAGTAAACTGGCAGAAAACTTTGATGAAGTTACAGCATCCCAGCTGTCTGCACTGCGGCCGCTTATCGCGAATCAGCAGCGATGGCTCTATCGCGCCACCACCCCCTGTACCGTCGAATGAGAGTGCGTCCCGAAGGCAGATTGGCTCGTTGCTCTGCACGCCCCCGATTGCCCTGCAATGAGCGTCTCTCCGAGCTGCGTATATTCCTCCCTACGGATCTCCCCCCCTTACTCCGTACTTGGGGGGCCCAACCGGCGACACCCAGTGAGCCCTGCACGTGGAGCGACGGTGTCAGTCGGGCTGGATCCATGGCGTCCCCACTTCAAGCTTTGAAGCAGAGAAGCTTGGTACTTACCCAGTAGTAGTAGTCCTTTGGACTAGGTACTCCGTAGGTAGTAAGTAGACACTAGCCAAAGTGGCTCGGGGACACCGAACCACGAGTTCCTATCGTCGTCTGCTGGTGGGTCGCCTATCTATCTCTCTCTCTGCTTATTGTGTAGTCAATATCCTCATGGTTTACGCTACCGGAGATAGGCAGAAAATGTCTGTCAAAGTGCCCCCATGCACCAGTGAGGTACGAGGAACCTGGCCCATTCCCTCGTGCGCACGCCGTACTACCTCAGACTTGATCCTCTCCCCACCACTGAGATCCGCTTTGCATTTCACTCTCTTCCTTCAGCCCAGTTCCCTGCCGCGATGATGGGGCAATTTTCTCGGACAAGCTTTGCCCGCTGCTGCAGGTCACCGACTCTATAAGACCTCTCCCCCACCCACCGGTCGAGCGTCTTCATGCTGCTAATTGTCGCCGCTATTGGTAGGGTATCCCGTGGTCTCGTGCCCCGGCTGGCTAACGTTGCCCCTCCTGCTGCTTCCCCCTTGCTTTCTCCTCTTTTTCCACATCCTCCATTTCTCCCAGTTGGATCTGTCTATCTGTCAGTTTTCGAGCCTGCAATCTAAGTCTACACAATGATGGACCGCAGTGACGAGAAGACCAAGGAGCTGGTGGTGTCGCCGCACGGTGACCCTCATGTCGATGAGGATCCCTTGGCCGACACCGAGAAATCCTTCTGGGAGCGCAGTTGGCCTACCTTTGCCTGTGGTGCTGGTTTGTGGTCGGATGGATACTTGCAATATGTCAGTGACTTCTTCTCTTCTAATATATCCCTTGAGGTTCAATCGCACTGACATAGGTTATGGCCGTCAGGTCATCGGTACCGTCAACACCATGCTCGACACAATTTATCCCAAGATCTACGATGGCTCCACCTACAGTCAGAATGTCTCATCCATCGCTTTCGCTGGAACGGTTGTTGGCATGCTCTTTTTTGGCTACCTCTCCGACCATTGGTCTCGATCCAACACCCTCATGGTCTCCACTGTCATCTTGTTCGTTTTTGGTGCTCTCTGTGCCGGTGCCTATGGTCATAATGGCAGCCTGCCCGGCATGTTCACGGCCCTGACGGTCTATCGCTTCTTCTTGGGTCTAGGTGTCGGAGGTGAATACCCTGCTGGTTCCGTCGCCGCCGCCGAGAGCAGTGGTGAACTGGCCGAGGGCACCCGGCATCGCTGGTTTATTCTCTTCACCAACTTCCAGCTCGATCTGGCCTCTGTCGCCTCGTCGCTCGTGCCCATGATTGTTGTGCTTGCCACTGGAGAGAATCATCTTCGCGCTGCCTGGCGTATCTGCCTGGGTCTTGGTGTCATTCCTCCGCTCAGTCTGATCTATCTGCGGATGAAGCTGAAGGAGCCCGCCGAGTACACCCGCGAGAAGATGACCAAGTTTCCCGTCTGGCTGATTGTCAAGTAAGCCTTAGCTCTCTCCCCCAGATGAGATCAAAACATAATTAACAGGAATATTGACAGATTTTACTGGAAGCGTTGGGTAAGCCTGCCAAGAACTCTAAGCAAACCTTACCATTATGAATGCGCTAACTCGTCCAGTGTGTCGTATCCTTGATCTGGTTCATCTACGACTTCTCCACCTACTCGTTCAGTATTTACTCGTCCGCCTGGCTGGCCGATATCATTGGCGATAGCGCACCCATGTGGCAGACACTCGGCTGGAACACCCTGATCAACGTCTTCTACCTGCCTGGATCTGCTCTGGGCGCATTCCTGAGCGATTGGTACGGTCCGCGCAACACACTAGCATTCGGAGTATTCGTGCAAGGAGCCATCGGCCTGATCATGACGGGATGCTACCCCTACCTGGATACCCCTCACTACGTGGCCGCCTTTGTCGTTGTCTACGGGTGAGTTCATCACGTATCCTCATTTGTCCCACTTCGCACTAACCACTCGGCGGATAGTATCTTCCTCGCCATGGGCGAAGTCGGCCCCGGCGACAACATCGGTCTCTGTGCCGCCAAGACCTGCGCGACACCCATCCGCGGTCAATACTACGGCACAGCAGCCGCCATGGGCAAGATTGGCGCGTTCGTGGGCACATACGTATTTCCAATAATTGTCAAGAATGCCCCGAACAAGATCCGCCAGGGCCAGGATCCGTTCTACGTGTCCAGTGCTTTGTGTATCTTCAGTGCGTTTTTGGCGTTCTTTTGCTTGCCTCATATTGGTCAGGTAAGTGGCCTGCCAACTTGTTCGGATTGACGATAGGTGACCGTGCTAACTGAAAATAGGATACCATCACGCACGAGGATGCTCGCTTCCGCGCCTATCTCGAGTCCCACGGGTACGACACATCTAGTATGGGCACGGCGGGCGGCGAAAGGCAGAGGACGCAGTGAAGTATGCATTCGACGAGTTGAATGAGCCATGTATCTTTATTTGGATTCGAAGAAAAGTGTATTCTTGATCATGAGCATACTAGTTACGGTACATAATTTAATGCCTTTTACGGAGATATAATCTGTACCCTATCCCATTGAATGTACAACCCACCGCAGTGTGGATAAGTCCATAACATAGAAACTACAAATCAACAAGCTGAGATGGAATTTGCTAGCCAATGTCACATGTCAGAAGATAAACGGGACCAGAAACGGTAAGTTGCAATGTTATCATATCAGGCCCCCGACCCGCAACTCCGGCCCATTATCTCTGCGTCAAATAGATAACCCTAGATAACAACCTCCCAAATGACCCTGCTCTTGCAGCCCAGGATTCCACGCTAACCATCCTGCAGGAAGACACTAGACTCTGCCGGCTCGCCTGCCACCGACCGGCCGTCCGTTGGATCTCCGGACACCCGGCAGTCGGAGACCCGCCACGATAGTTCTTCACCATCGTCTACGTAGTAACTTGTATCTGAAAAGCTTATCTTTATGAGCATGTCAACCATAAGATAATTAATGTATGCTGCGGAGGTCCGACAGAGAATGGCCACTCGAGCGTACTGTCTATCTCCTAGTTTAGTTGTCATCGCTAGTCTCGACTGATTCGTATGATAAGCTTAGTTACTGGTCGATTCAAGAACTGCCAGTGGGCTTGTATTTGGGAGATAAGGGCAACAATTAAGCTATCTATATATCTATCTAGTACGTATTTATGATGGTTGAAGCTTGTAGTGCACGAGAGTTGAAAGGTGATAGTTTCTTAGTAAAACACCACTACACACGCACACACCCTAGCTACTGACAGTAAAAAGTGCTCTAGCATACTGGCCAGCAAGTTAGCAGTCATTTTAAACGTAGCTGGTTCACCCAATCGTGGAAGGAAAGGCCAGTTCGCGCAACGTTATAAGCAGCCGTATCCTGATTATGTGGCGGGCCCCAGGTGTATGTCTCATCTTCAATTTCCAGCACATTACGCTTAAACATAACGGCCTGCAATACAAGGAAGTGCAAGGACAGCTCATCGTGAAAGGATTCCAAAACATGCTGCCAACGGTGCTTGGTCTCCCCTGGGGTGTCTTCTTGGGGCAAAGGGCCGTACGGATCGTCAGGCGGGGCTAGACTGACTGCTTTTAGAATCAGGTCGGTCAAGGTAGGCGATACAGCACGAAGAAATTCCATCAGGGCTTCCGGCGGGACCACTAGATTCTGCAAACGGACTTCGCGCTGGCGTGGAAAATGTATTCCCGGGAAGATCTCAAGAATGGGGAAAGTTGTAGGGGGGTAAGACGCGTTGATGGAGTCAAATTGATATCGTAGTACCTCGAGAGTCGGGCCAACGGCTGTCAACAGCTCACGGGGACGTTCTGGATGGTCGCCCTCCTGTGTTCCCTCCAGACAAAGGTGTATCTTCAACAAGCCTTTCATGAGGGAAACAAAGGATGTCCATTCTTTTTGAGTCAGCTTCAGCCTGGCAAGCGCCACGCCATAGCAAGGCTTGCCACAGGTTGACAGATGCTTCACGTTCTGATCACTCGCAATCAGGGCTCTAACAAGGATGCAGAAAGCTCGATCCTGCTCTCTGGAGATCCCTTCGTGCCGGCGGAATTCCTTGGGGAACTTGGGGGGAAAGCCGAGGTCGTCTGTTAGACTGCGCCAGCCTAGACATATCAAGTCACGACTTCCTTCGGCAGGGCGATATCGTAACCCGACTGTAATTACGTTGACAAAACGGCCCATACAGTGTCGGAGAACGCGGATGGCAGTCGGCGACTTCAGTATGCGTCGATGATCTTTCATGACGAAGTGAAAATCCTGATAGTATTGCGAGACATGGGCCGAAGCTGAGTACTCCTCCTCAGGCTGCTGCTGTCGCTGTTTCTTCAAGGCCAATCGAATACAGTCCCAATACGCGAAACCATAGGGATGCATTTCATATTCGCCATTGAATAGCTCCGGGACAAGTCTGAGTTCTTCGACATGTTGGCGAATGCCCTCGTGCATGGAAAGCTCATAGAGTTGGCACAGTCCGCCGGAGGTGCACAAGACGGAGATGCTGCGGAAGACGCGTCGAAATGAATCGAGAGTGATATTGTAGAGCGACCGACAAGTCAGTCGAAGCGCACACCAGGCTGGTAGCTGCAGATAGGTGCAGATTTTCCTCACCAACTCAATGGGAAGACAAGCGATGGACATGTTGAGAGAGAGAGAGAGGGTTTTCGATGTGTTGATATTACCAGGCTGTTGGGGAACGCAGAGAGAGCGCGTCTATATACTGTCGAGGCAATCATACATTCAATCATTCATTCACTGTCGCCAGGCACCTACCTCTGCTGCCTACCGTGGATGCACCTATCATCAACCCCCTAAAGTTGATTAAAACCAACGTACATGCATGGATTGAATACGTCCCTCCCCTGCTCCTGCCGTTCTATGGAGAATAAATATTCTTTTAGGTGTCACCGGCATGGCCGTGGGTGGTGATTTTAGGGGAGCAGCAGTAGCGACCAGTCTGAATGGGCGATGAGTTTGTTGGAGAGTTTGTTGGTGGAATACAAATTAATTAACCTTGGACAGCGGGCCGGGCCACGACCATTAGTAGCCAGGGAACCTCCATGGGAAGGAACTCAAAATGGAAATGTATAGAGATCTCACTTGTTTGTACTTGATCAAATTGGAGCCAAATATGTCGATCCGGGGCCACGGAAGGAATTCGTCAGAAGGATGAAGAAAAGAGAGAGGAACAATTGGGGCAGTGGATCCGCGCCGATCGATCCCTTTTCCCACCAACCAACCCGGGCGGTGGGTGATCCGTGCACGCGAGTCAGTCATCCATTCCATCCATCATTCCATCTCCTCCCCTCCAGACTGAAGCTATTCCGACAGGGATAATAAACCCTAAAACCCTTCAATACCAACTAAACCAGCAACTTATTCTTAAACCAAAGAAATATGGCATCTACCACCTCCCCCCTCCGCCTCGAACCCGCCACTCTCGAGGACCTCCCCGCCCTCACCGACCTCTGGTACAATGCCTTCACCACCGAATCCATGCTGACCATCTGGCCCGACACCCCAGGCGTCCGACAATGGTGGCACGAAGCCAACGAGCACGACATGCGACACAAACCCGCAGAGAAATTCCTCAAGGTCGTCGACACCTCCCAGAATAACCGCATTGTCGCCTACGCCAAATGGTCTCTGCAGACGGCTGAAGAACGTGGTGCTCGCTGGCCGGCCTGGCATCCGGACATGGATCCGGTGCATAATGATGCCTTTGTCAAGCAGCTGGAGACGTTCCGGGCTGCGTTGGTGGGTGAGGGGAGACCGAATTATTGTATGGTTATGTTCTCATCTACATAGCTTTGAGAAAAGGGCTGGTTTGCTAATGGACGTGGTAGATCTCGATATGCTCGCGACTCACACGGATTACCGACGGATGGGCGCCGCTCGTCTGCTTCTGGAATGGGGCTGTCGCGCTGCGGACCAGGCAGGCGTGCCGGTCTACATTGATGCCAGTAAGGCGGGCAAGCCCGTCTATGAGCGCTTTGGCTTCGAGGATCGTAGCCATGTCTTTGGGGATACGGGTGCCTTGGCACCTATGGTGCGGGATCCACCGAAGAAGGATGCTTGAGGGGATATCGTGCAGAGGATGTGGTAGAGGAGTATATGCCGGGTTCATTCAATCTTTATCGGCAACATGGAACACGGAAGAAGAAAAATATATTTATAGTATAGAACCAAGGCCCGCCAACGAAACTGGTGGCCAACAACCCTAGTACCCAATAGATACAATAGATCAAGCACTTCAACCACGCTAATAACAAGAAGCTAAAGTTTGTCCACAACCATCTATATATAAATAATCACTGGCAATCCTCATCTATATCTTGGCGGGTCTCCGGACCAGCGCATTCGTCAAGGTCAAGAGACTGTCTCGTTCCTGCGCCGTAAACTCCCGACGACCAGGACCACCCCGACTGCCATCACCGCCGCCGCGAGCGCTGGCCCCCGTGAACAAGTCATCTTGTGCCCGCGACCGGTAGTCGGTGTGGAACTTCCACCGTTCCGCCAGGTCGGCGGGCAGTTGGCCCAGGAAGGCCTTGGCAATATATTCGCCGATCACCGGAAGGAATTTGTATGCACTAGTCGCTCGTTAGTATCAATAGTTGACACCCATTAACTTTAGTTGTGGGGGAATACTCACTGTCCCGTACCGCCGGTCGCGACAAACACGTTTTTATGTTCGGGATGGCGGTCAAAGATGAAATCGCCCGTCGGGGTCTCGTTGTACCAGCAGAGACACGTCTTCTCAAAGCCCCGCGACACCAACTCGGGTAGAATCTCACCCAGACCAGCCAGCAGTCGTTGACGGCCTTCCTCCGGGATGAAGTTGGCACGCTGTGAGATGGCCTCGCTGGGTGGAGAGGAAACGTTGGACGAGGACAAAGTGTAGCCGAAACTGTGACAAGCCACCTTCAAGTATCCGGTCTGCTCATGAGGCGGGAAGCTGAAGAATCCCGTCGACAGATTGAAGATGATGGGGAGGTCCTTCAGACGCTTCACCTCCTCCGGGGTAAGCCGCACGAACCCGACGATCTGCGCGGTGGCCACCATGGTGTTCCATGAGGGCACCAGACTGGCGGTCCATGCTCCCGTCGCCAGAATGAACTGATCGGCGGTGATGCGCCCGCCATCGATGGTTCGCACGGCGGTCACTCCGCCATCTGACCCTTTCTCCAGGCTCGTTACATGTCCATGGCGACCAGTGACAAAGGAGACGCCCGCGCGGATGCAGCGATCGCGCAGGCCGGTAATGGCGAGGCCCGCATCGGCCCAGCCCGCGGCGTTGTTGTAGAATCCCTCGAAGCCTGCTCCGATGGGAGTGCCTGACACCGTAGGGAAACGATCTTTTAAGGCGGTCACATTGTCAAGGTTGTGCCATTCGCAACCCATATCCGTGAGGATCTTCTTGGTCTTGCGAATGAAATCGGATCCGCCCGCCGAGACGAGGTCGGCAGGCCCTGACTGCTGCGCCGTCCAGACACAAGGGGTGCGATGGAAGGAGTCTGCATAGTCGGGACTGGTATTCCAAAGCTCGTAGGCATCACGGCCCATCTTCGCATAGACGGGATCGCCATAGTCGAAGCGAATAACGCGCGAGATGTCATTGCTCGATCCATCGGGGACGGGCGGCATGGACCGATCCATCACCGTGATGGAGGAGAAGCCATCTTCAGCCAGGTACAGGGCTGTGGAGAGGCCAAAGACGCCGGCTCCCACGATCACGATGGACTGTGTCTTGTCCATGACTATACTAACAAGAGAATATCCAGGAATCAGAATGTAGTGTCATGGGACACCCCCTAGGCCAGACCCCAGATTCTTAATGTGTTTGAGAAACAGGCATTGGACGGTTGTTATGCCCCGGCTGGGAACCGGGAACCGAACCGAGTCCGTCTTGGCTTGCGCCTGCAGCAGTTGGATTCCTTCTCATTTGGGTGAAGGAATCCGTGGATGTGGGGATGGGCTTGGAGCGATGAATGGCAACTGGAGAGACTAACCGTGGACCGGTTCCGTGGTGGAGAACTGATCATGCAGCCCAAGTGGACAAACTGCACTGGTGAACTGGCAGCTCCTCGGCCGGCTGACAGCTCAAGCTTTCCCTAGACCGGAAAACATTCAGTCCCCAAGATTAAGGTGGGCTAATAATAATCTTGCTGTAGGGGAGATCTGGGGCTTGACTTCCCAATCGGGTTATGTATGTAAGGGGGGCTCTGTTTGTGCCCTCCATCACGGAGGATGAGTTTCAACTGTCCGGGTCAAAGCTCCCTTATCGCTCCGTATCTGATTGCCAGCCGGCGGATCGGTCAAAGGTCCCTTCTGCCGGCCGTGTCTATCTCCAGAGAACATGCCTTTGTATCAATTCCTTGATAGCGTTGTGAGCTGGGATAGGGCTGGATGCTAGTCCCGTGCATTGACCAGACGAAGAACCACGGCTGCCGTCGCCGCCACGAGGCGTTCCGGTGCCAGAGAATCCAGGCTCCGTCCCCGACCTCCTGATCGCTTTGGGAGCCGGTGGACGGCTATGGAGCCGCTGTCAGGGAAGAAGAGGATGGGTTGGAATGAAGCAAGATGATAGAGATAACCAGATATCCAACTGGCTATAAAGACAGTATCTCATCTCGTCCTCAAGTCTGGTAGAACAACAACAACGACCAAGATCCATCTCCACTCAAGAGCCTCTTTCCAGACTCTCACAAAAACCCTCGAAAGAATCAACATTTTATATTTCACATCTGGTCTAATACCATGGCCTCCGCATTGTGGAACTACCTGGGTCTCCGCGAGACCCCCACTACCCCTACCAATGAGGCCGTGCGAGCCCTGCCGGCCTCGTGGTACACCTCGCAGGAGATGTTCGAGCTGGAGCGACGCGCCATCTTCTCCCGCAAATGGCTGCTGACCACTCACAAGCTGCGTCTCCCCAACACTGGAGACTGGCTGCAGTACGAGGTGTCCGGCTTCAACTTTGTTCTGGTGCGCGACAAGGAGGGCAACATCAACGCCTTCCACAATGTCTGCCGCCACCGCGCTTTCCCCTTGGTGACCGAGGAGAAGGGTTCCGCCCGCATCTTCGCCTGCAAGTACCATGGCTGGTCCTACGGCCTCAATGGCAAGCTGGCCAAGGCCCCCGGCTACCAGGACCTCGATGGCTTCGACAAGAGCAAGAACAGCCTCCTCCCCATCCACGTGCACCTCGACGCCAACGGCTTCATCTGGGTCAACCTGGATGCCGGTGAACAACCCGAAATCTCGTGGGACGATGACTTCAAGGGCATCGATCTGCAGTCCCGCTTTGCCGATGTCAAGTGGGAGGACTACACCTTTGACCACACTTGGGAGCAGGAGGGCGACTACAACTGGAAGATCCTGGCCGACAACTACAATGAATGCTACCACTGCGCGACTACGCACCCCGACATCCCCGCCCTGGCCGACTTGGCCACCTACTCGGTCGACACCAAGGATGGCGGCATCATCCACGACGCCCACTCCAAGCCCGACCAGATCGCGGCCGGGCTCCGCATCGCTAGCACATACTACTTCCCCAATGCCTCCATGACCGTCTCGTAAGTGTGCCTCTGTCTAATTGACCCCCACCAGTTCCAACCCCCTAACCATTTATCTGCAGGCCACACTTTTTCTTCATGCAGCGCTTCGTCCCGCTTTCCCCCACCCGGTCGGTGATGAAGTACGAGGTGTACCGCAACAAGAACTCGAGCGACGAGGACTTTGAGCTGATCAACACCATGTACAAGCGCATCATGTCCGAGGACAAGTACCTCTGTGATCTGACCCAGAAGAACCTGAATGCCGGAGTGTTTGTGAACGGCGAGCTGCACCCGAAGATGGAGAAGGGCCCCTTGTATTTCCAGAAGGTGGTGCGCGACGTGGTGACGGAGCACTTCCAGCGCGAGGAGAAGGAGGGACAGGAGTACTGGCCCGCCCGTCAGCGGGTGCCCAAGGAGGCGGCGACGAGTGCGCAGGACATGCAGTTCTGCGCCAACCTGGGGTGTGGGGCGGGTAAGGAATGCTGCTCGAATATCGGGGCGCAGCCTCCGGCGGCAGTCGCCTGGTGAGGGGGGGAAATGTTCATGAAAGGGATCGGCAATTGAGACAGAAGAGAGAGTTGTGCTATGATTCATCTTGACGAGTTTGACACATTGTTTTCGGCAAATCAGGTTAGCGATCTTTGTTTGGATTTTGAGATATTGTACCGCAATAGAATAGTTTCTTATTTTAGCATGCTTCGCAATCTTTAATGACGTTCAAGTGAATCATGGTGCATTTCTGTCGCGTACTGCGACTAGATAAGTAAAATGGGTTGGTTATCAAGAAGGCGAAGAGCGGGATGGAAATGGAAGGGGCGGTATAGATTAGAGATTAGTAGAGAAGAGAGAGAAGGATGGCTAAAGACGGGAAAACCAGCCAGAAGAGGAAAGGGAACCAGACTAGACCACGTGCGCTCACCTGACCGGTGGGAAAATCACCGGACTTTTCTTTTCTCTAAGACCATCCAGGATACAACTACCAAGTACTGGAACAAAGAAAAGTCGAAAGTTTAATGATGATTTCAGTTAACTAATAAGGTCACTCCGTGGGTTAGTCAGAGTGTTCCAGTCCCAGTTCTTTTTCTGCTTCCCACGCCTGGTCTGGAATGTTCAAACCTTCCCCCTGCAAGTAGCCAGACGCACCAAAACTTGGACAGGGTGACGGGTCATGGCGGGGATTCCCAGGGATTACCCAAGGACTGACGGGGGCCCAGCTGACCACTGGCCTTGGAGAGGGAGTGTATTGGGTGAAATTATGCGAGGGTGGCCATGAGTTCGGAGCTGCTACCTACGTACTAGTACTATGAATAGCCCTTCCATACGATACGTGAATAGTAGACCAGACTGGGCTTATCTCTCCCATCGAGACACACACCGGGAGTTACGTTGACTGTCAACCTTGTCTGGCTGGACCCTCCGGGGAGAGCGGCAGACCCACCTTTTTTTTTTTTGCTGCTGGTCCCCCCATCCATCCAGGAATAGATGATAGTAATCTGGTACTTGGTACTAGATACTAGTAGTAGATAACAGATAACCCTTCAGTTTCCCCCAACTATACTAAGCAGTGACAGTTCCCAGGTTTCACTGCCAACCCAATGTAGTACTTACATACCTAGTACATAACCTCTTTTTTTTTTTTTTTTTTTTTCCACCCCCTCCTTGCACCCTGCATCTATTCGTATAATTGGTTGTTGCTTATCCCCCTCCAAACCCTCCACGTACTCGGAAGTACTAGTACTACTTACTGAATAGTAGTGGACACCCTAATATTTAGTGGTGGTGGTGGTAGTAGTAGTAGTATATGCCTGCGCGCCAACTCTCGTCCCTCGTCCCTTCCTTTTCTAACCCGAATCCCCTCCTCCGTTTCCCCTCCTTCTCCCTCCCCTCTTTTGTTCCCGCGGGCATCGCGTCCCGTACTCATTCCCCTCCTCTCCTCTCCCAGCAGCTCCTCCATCATCATCTCTCTGAGTCATCCTGGGAAAAATAACATGACGCCACCAGAAGGACAGCGTCGGAGATTACGGTCAAATCATGCTTGTTTGAACTGCAGGTGCGAAGATGCCAGAGAAATTCCTATCTCGATCCATCGGCGGAGAACAGTCACTCACCAACATTGACAGAAGGAAGAAAACGCGCTGTCCGGGCGAGAAACCAGCCTGCTCATGCTGTGTGCGGCTTAACCAGCCGTGCTCGTATACGCCCGTCACGAGGACGTCAATAGGCAGTCCATCCGTGGGTGCACCCAACTTCTTCTGGACTACACGGTTGCTGATGCTCCACCTCAGAAAGATCGGCTGGCAGAGCTGGAAGAAAAGGTCAATCTCATTCTAAACGGCAATATGTAGGTCTCTCTCTCTCTCTCTCCCTCTCTCTCTCCTCGCGGAATTGTTCGCACTACAATTAAGCTCACAGATTCTCGCAGACTAGCTCGATCGACAGGTCCCGAGACGAAGTTATCGCCACCATCCCCGAGACGCCGCGATTCTCACACCCCTTATCCTGTCCCATCGGGGCTGGGCGAGGGCACTACCCCTCACTCTTCACCCTCGGTCATCGCCAGAGCGATTAATCTCTACGTGGAGCACTGTCACCGGCAGCCGGTGTGGTGTTTCGACTTCGATGGGCCAGGCGAGCCCGGCTCTCTCCCGGAGGAGCTGATTTGTAGTCTATTGGCACTCACCTTGCGCTACTTACATGAGCAGGACCAAGGCCAGCATTATGCCGACGATGCTAGGACTCTCATCATGCTGCGCATTGCCAATGGGACAGTGGAGCTAGCCACGATCGAAAGTTTGTGTCTGCTGTCCTATTCTTCTTTCATAGGTACGTCTACCCCCGGAATGGCCCAAGCAGTGTGGAAAAGTAATAGTAACTAAATGGTATGTCCCATTGTCGCAGATGGCAATACACACGTCGGACAGTTCTACCTAGGCCTGGCGTCCCAGCTTTGTCGCGCGGCCATGCTAGATGTTGCGGTCGCCTATTCCACCGATGATCCACACATGGAGCGAAAGAAGCGGCTGTTCTGGAGTCTACAGTTGCTCGAGCAATCGTACGGCCGACAGACGGGCATCTTACGCACATCGACCGAGATCTGGCGCCCACCATATTTCGCGACGGATGGCGACCAGGACAGCCACAAGGCGACGGGCCCTCCGCCGCCACCCATGCCGCAGGACAGCGTGGGATGCACGAACTCCCACGATACAGGAATCTGGAACATGAGCAACCAATTTGGCTGGGTCTGGAGTAATGTCAGGGGCTATGTATCGGACTGTGCGCGCAGCAAAATGAAGGAGCCCTGGCGGCATGAGTCAATGTACTCGATGATACTGTCCGACCTCACGGAGGTCGAGAACCGGACGCCCTTCTGCCATCGCTATGATCACGTTCAGTTCTACGAGCGTACTGGTGAGGAGCTGTCCTATGAATTGGCCTACTGGGTACCCTGGTTGAAGTTGCAGTTCATGTACCATGCCATCCTCACCGTCCTGAATCACCCGTTTCTGTACATTATGGCCTCGCGCCAGAATCCCAACCTGGCCATCCCGAACAGCTTCTGGCGACGTTCCTCGGAGCTGGTGGTGCTGCACGCCACCTGGATTGTGCGCTTGATCGACATGGTGGTGGAGAAGGAAGTACGCCTGTCCGACCCCTTTTTCGCTCATGTCGCCGCCATTGCCGCCACGGTGCAGCTATACTATTGCTGTGCCGGGGATCCCCGTCTGAAATACAAGTCGCGGGTGGACTATGCCAAGTGCCGCGAGTTCCTGAGGACCTTTGCCACTACATCGCGGGCCTGCGAGGGCTTGGTAGGTGATCGTCCCCCCTGCCTACAGAATGAGCAGCTGACTCCCTTTCTCTGTAGCATCGCATCCTGGACCAGATGATGCGTATTGCATCGGGCTCGGAGAATGTCGACTATGAGACCTGGCTCCCGTCCAAGATCTACTTAAGTATCCCACTCATGTGGGACATCCTACAGTTCAACGTCACGGATCGGTCGGCGGGCGGGAGGGCAGACGGCCGCCTGCTGCATTCCTCATTGGCAGCATCGGCGGTCGGGCGAGGCTCCGAAGAGGACTCGACGCTCGAGGTGATTGTCACAACCTCGCCGGAGGTGACGGTCAACACCGCCGACGGGGGCCAGGCGGTGCCCCTGCCTCTGTATCGGACGCCAGCGACCTCCAAAGCTAACGCAGCAGCTACTTCCATAATGCGTGACACCCTCGTTGCGCCGATTGACAGTCTGATGGTCAATACTCCATGGCTCTGGGCCGACTCGGCTCCACTGGGCGACATGGAGAGCTCCCTGGGATACGCCAACTCCGGTCCGGGCGGCGGAGATGCGGAATTTTCGTCATGGTGGAATTTGGGAAACCTGTGAACCGATCCAAACCTGCGTGAATATCTAATACTAAGAATAGTCTTGATTGCCCTTTTGATTCGATGGAGATAGTATGGCCACCTACCCACTCACACACACAACCTGAGCGGAGACGTCGAAACCTGTGCAATCGAGAGGAGAGAGACAAAACACAAGAGTGAAAGAGAGAAAGAGAGACAGGGAAGAGGAGTCCCGACCAACCCCGCACGCACAAAAGAAATCATTCTCCTCTCCGTCCTCCTCCCCTCTTTCTTCTCGTCCTTCCCCCCTTTGCTGCTCGCCCCGAGCCTTTCAATCCGCGGTCAACCTGGCAGTCCCTATGCGAGATCTCCCTCTATTTCGAGTCTCTTTCCACCCATGAGCGAAACTCTCCAACCAAGAGACCATACGCGCCACCCGTTCTCCGACCGATAGAAGCGAGGGGCATTGCCAATCCGACGAAGGCCAAAGCTCCTCCGTAAGACACGCTAGGACCCGCCACTATCCAGTACCGCCTTGCCTGTTTCGGACATCTTTTCCCAGGGCTCCATCTTTTTTTACCCCTCGCGACCTTGCCTTCCCTGGATAAGATACGATACGACAGCCCCCCTATCGGCCCGCCAACTGTTTCCCCCCTCCTTCTTTTAGCGTCATGCGCTTTATTTGTTGTTGGGATGACAGTAGCTACACGCTTCCCGACGCAAGTCATCTCACACAAACACCGCGTCGGCTCCGCTGGTGCTTCGGGTTGATGTCGATCCCAACCCGGACATCTCGGAACGTCATGGGTATTCCATCTTTTGGACTGATAGAGCGCAAGGGAGACGACGGTGGAACCGGTACTGCAGACGCCCAGCAGGGGTTCCCAGTGTGGTATGCCGTCTCTTCATGCTTATCGGCCATCAGTTCCCGCGCGAAACGCGTCACCCCAAAGCAGGGGGGGGAGGTTGCACATGGCTAGTACCTCAAGTCCCCGATTGCCGTGTTGGGGGAAGGCGGGTAATTTCCCGATGCCGCCGGGCTATGCGACCAGAACCGTCGCTGTATGCTGTAACTCGCCACCACCAAGTTTACCATGGCGATGCATTTGATTAGTGTGGATGGCACGATCATGATCATCCTTCCCTTTTCCATGTTTCCTCTCTACATCATAATGGATCTCGGCCAATCGAACTCCCCTGGTCCCGACAGCCTGATGGGGATCTCTGCTACTGTTGTAGCATAGACGGTATCGGGGACACACTAACTCTTCTGCAGATTGCTGGCTCCTCCGCCAGAGACCAGTCTCAACGGGACTTGTTGTCTATAGTCTCTAGTATTCCTGTTGTATCTAATGTCTAATATCTACTGATGCTCTTTAACCAGACTACGACTTCTGTCCCAACGCACTCTTCAGCCACTCATGGGCCTGGCCATATATGTCCTCGCAAACCTTTTTCCGGTACGCTCTTTCGGCCGCATTCCCCTCCTGGCCGTGCGTGAAGCCATGCGTACACCCTCGGGCCAAGGTCCACTTATACGCAGACGTCTCGAAGGGGGCTTCCTGGTCCTCTTTATCGTGCAGCCCCGCCAGGCGGTGGATCATCTGCTGGGCTTCCAGCCTCAGCATATCCCACTGCGCGGCAATCATGTAGATGCGCGGGGGCAGGTCTTTCGGGTCGGCGTACCAGGGGCTCAACAGTGGTTCGCGTCGGTTCTGTCCCACACAGACATACCCCCAGTCCAGAGCCCACGCCATTATGCCTATCTTGTCCAAGGGACCATCCGTGTAGGGGCGGGAGGCTAGTTTGACGGGCGGGGGATGGCCAAAGTCGACAATTGGGTAGTAGACGACGGCGGCTTTGACCCGTCCATGCAGAGGAGGCAGCTGCGACACCGACAAGGCCAGATTCCCGCCCGCACTGAACCCCCCAATGGTGATGCGCTCGGAATCAATGGGCAGGGACTCATCCGCCAGCACGTCCTTAATCTGGGCGACTAGATCGTAGGTGGCGGTGGGGAAGGGATGTCGCGGTACGCGGCGGTAGTCCAGACTCACGACGAGCATGCCGGTCCGCTCGGTCCAGGCGGCGCAGAAGCGGTCATCTACCTGGACATTCCCCACGGCGAAACCCCCGCCATGAATGTTCAGATATAAGGGCAGGCGCTCACCCGCGCAATAGCTGGGCGGGAAGAAGATGTGGGTGTTGAGCATGGGACGAGATGGGTAGCGACGGACGAAGGTGGGCTGGTAGCGACGCGGCGGCTGTCGTACCAGGCGCCGAAAGTAGAAGTAGATGGCGGCCAGGGATTTCAGCAGCCATAGTCGGATGAAGCAGTCCACGCGGTGCCAGAAAGGCATGCGCACTTTCCAGAGAGGGGGAGGGGACTCCGCGGTGGTGGTGTCGGCCTGTTCCTTCATGGTTGAGGCTGGCCAGTGAGACGGGCTGAGGGAAGAACGACTGTCTGTCTCAGCAGGAAAAAATATCAGTTCACGGAGGGAAAGCGAACTAGCGCGTTGGGAACGTAATCCTTCGACACACAGCCTCCCCGTCCGTCTAGCGCTCCCGTCATCGCGATATCGATTAGTCCAAAGCCTTTATCTCCCACCCCTACCCCCAAGGGAGCTCATCCCGTAGTTACGTCGCATAAAGAGGCAAGATTTGCCGCGTAGTCGAGGGGGACCATCGCCATGTTTCCCCCTCCCCGCACACAGCGGCTCCAGAAGAGGGAGAGAATGGTGTGTGACCGTCTTGCAGTGGTTGACATGGCTGGACGGGAACTATGAGGTTGTGTGAGAATACTGTGAGTGCCTGGAAGGGTTGATCAAGAGACAGAACTGATACTTTTGGTATCAAAGTAGTGGTGGAAGATACACCGAGAAAAGAAAAGAGGGCCAGTTCGAGGCTCGACCGCGCAAACCTTATCTTCAGATCTTAGTATCTGGCCAATGGTAGTTCTATCAACTAAAATTGAGTGCTTCGAAACAATTCAGGAAAGTTTGACATTGTTAGGAAAGTAGGTAAGTAAGCAGCAGTAGACTCTGAGGAAGGGGTGTGTGTGTGTGTGTGTGTGTGTGTGTGTGTGTATGTTTTGTCTGTTTCTTGTCCGGTTGAAGCTTCCCCGCATCTGTGCTTACCTCAGCGGTCCCTCTCGTCTCCACTTTCCTGTTTCATCAATTCCTCTTACTCCCCTCTACCTACTCTCTTCTACTTCTCGACTACATCTTCCCTATCGCTATACAACCCCCATTACCTTCTCGTCTTCTAGTGCCCGCAAACCTTCCTGGTTAACTGATTTTGCTTCAGACTTCGGCTGGATTGGCAACTCATCATGTCTACGATCCCCATTCGCGCATCTCCCTCCCCAGCATGGGCGAACGGATGAATTGTGGGTTCCTTTATGTCATCATGGCATCATCATCATCATCATTATCATCCTTTCTCCTGCCAGCAATATCATCATCATCATCACCGGCTTCTCCTCCGATCGCCCAAGAATTTCTGCTGGCCAAACTCAGAAACCCTTCCATATCCCTTATTCTCCCTCCCCGAAAAACCAACCCCTTCTCGAATCTTCCCAGATAAACCATTTCTCCCACTACCTGTTCCTGATAAACCGGCCGTCGTGCCCCCATGTCCACGCGCAGAAAGAAACCCGAGGTACGTGCTTGGTTTCCCTGCCGCGCCCTCCCTCTTCCCCCCTGAATCGCCCATTCCTTAGTCCTAGTCTCTTATACATTCGTAGACTGCCCCAGCCAGGGCCGATCGCGCCCAACAACCCGCCGCCGAGTATGCTATTAGCTCGGGTAACTACCATGAGGACCTACTGCATGATCTCTTCCACGTCGTCCGATCCATCGACCCCGATTACACTCCGACCCTCGTCGACATGATCCGCAATCATGCCTCGCTGGACGAGGTGCGGGCCTACCTCACTCGCGCCCTGGCCGCTGCCCAGCCCTCTATCCCAGATCAGGAGAACGCCTTGCACCGCCTGGAAGGCCTGCGTCGCGGTATTGAGGTCGAGAGTGAACCCCCGCGCTTTCGCCCTCAGATCATGGACATCCGGTATTTGTGCAGTAATGCTCCTTATCGCGTCCCTGCCAAACCCTGGACTTCCGTCACCGACGACGATGACCTCGTCTCCCACTTAGTCTCCCTCTACCTAATCTGGGACTATCCCTTTTTCGCCTTCTTCGACAGCGGAACCTTTGTTAAGCACATGGCCATGGGCAACACCGAATCCGACTTTTGCAGCCCCTTCTTAGTCAATGCCCTATTGGCCAATGCTTGCGTAAGTACCATTTCACCCTGCCCTGTATCTCTCTGAGCAGACTGGATAACTATCGGAGTTGCGTGGCTCTATCTAGTACTACTCGCAATACACCGAAGCCTACACTGTCCCCGGTGATGTCCGCACCAAAGGAGCCGATTTTCTGGCAGAAGCAGAACGCCATCTACAATCGCATCAGTTTGAGAAGGGAGGCGACATTCGTCTGGCATCTTTGCAGGCGCATCTATTGCTGTATGAGAGGTATGCCCGCACCAACCCTGGGCGGTGGGCGCCCTGCCGCGTCGACCGGAGGACCTGACTGTATGTTTCTAAATCCCACCAGGTACTCCTTGTCGGGCCACAATGACTGGGGATACACTATGCTGCATCGCGCCATTGAGATGGGAGAGTCGCTAGGTATCGTCAATAAGAAGACCGATTTACGCCTCTCCGTATCCCAAATGTCCGAGGATATGATCGTCTCCATTAAGCGCACCGCCTGGGGCCTGTTCCAGGTAGACACGTAAGTGCGATCTCGCGTTCCTCTCACACATTTTATGTCCCAGGACCCAGTCTGATAGTGGACAACCACAGTGTCGTCCATACAAACTTCCTCCGGCCCAGCCGCGTGCGCTCCGTAAGTGTCGAGCGCATTGACCGAAATAGCATGAACACGAGCGATATGTGGGCACCGTACCCAATATCTCAAAAATTCCGCCCGTCGTACCTAAACCTATATTTTGATGAAGCATGCAAGCTCTCCTTCATTGCCCGCGACATTTCCTGGAGTCTTTCTCGCACCGATCGGTCGGGCACCGAGCCAGATCAGCGCAAGCAAGAACTCTACGACCGGCTCAGTGCATGGGAAAGCAATCTTCCCGAGTGCTTCGATCCGGCCACGCGACCGGCACCACATCTACTGCTGCTCAGGTAAAGTGTACCCTCCCGATCCGCCAGGCGGCGGAGCATGAGTGAGCTAACCAGTCCCATTGTCTACAGAATGCGCTACCATACACTAGTAATAAATCTCTGCTGCGATCGCTTCGGATTCCACCCCATACTCTCCGAGGGTGACGAGCGTACGCCCCGAGAAAGTAAAGGGTTCAGCGCTGTGGAAATCGCCCTGTCATCAGCGCGAACTATCGCCGCGCTCACCCAGCAGCTACGGGTGGAATATGGGATGGAACATGCCCACCAGTTCGCCATGTATTCGGTCAACCTGGCGCTGTTCACCCTCCTCGGTCAGGACACCTTTGATATCCTCGACCGCGACTTCCTCACCCTGACCAGCGCCATGTCAATCATTGCCTGCCGCTCCCAACTGGGACGCCACCTCTTCCACCTCTTCAAGCTCTCGGTGCGGTCCCGCAACCAGGGCGATCGGGTGCAGCAGTCGGATGAGGTGCCACCCGGGATCAAGGAGCTGTTCAAGCCAGACTCGAAGGCACAGGTTCCCGACCGGTGGGATAAATACGCCGAGGGGTTAACCAAGATCGACGGCGAACAGAGTTACGTGGACCACTTCCAGGATGATCCCCAATCGTTAGCTACCTCTGGGCTGCACGAGATGTTGCAGCGATACGAGCGGTTAAGTGTGGGCAAGGAAGACGAGTGGCGTGACCGTCGGCCAAAGGGAGTGACGCATTTTTGAACTCCCTCTTTGGCAGGAATATAGATTAGACCATGTCCCATTGTGGTCATGAAACTCAGATACATCCCTGAGCCTGTACATATCCATGATTCGATTCCATCTGTAGACGATACACGAAGTTACCATTTCAATTCCTAACATATTCACTCCTTCAGAAAGTCCATATAACCATAAGATCAATTGATCCTCCACTCGGTAACCCGAAATAACCGACATCGAAAACTGATTCATAAATACATATATATCACCACTCCTCATGATCTCTCTCCCTTTTGTATGATTACATCTTTCTAAACAACAAAAGAACACCCAAAATATAATACATCCGAAAATAGAATAGTAAGTTCACGAAAGACCCCGCAAAGCTTCTCACAAGTAAAGGCCCTCTTCTTCGAGGGTCTCCAACACCTCCGACGCACTTCCAATCAAGTGCAGACTGCCCGTGATTAGCACAAGCGGCGGCACACGCCCCTGGCCACCGACGCTGCCAGCACCCCCAGCGCAGCGAATAGCTTCCTCAACGGTGCGCACGACCGTGATACCCGTCAACTCCTCACCGGGGATACCGCGCCAGTAAGTGCTCAGCTGGGCCTGGAGGTTGAGGTTCTCCTCGCCCGCATTACCGTGAAAGGTCATGGACGCGCGCTCCATATCTGCCGTCTCATCCTTCTCCCAGGCAATGTTGGAGCAGAAGATGACATGGTGGAACGGCTTCTCGGCCAGACTACTCCCATTACCTGCAGTCTGACGGATACTATCCCGGAGGTGGCGCACCAAGGTGAAGGCATCGCGGGTGGACTGGTTGAAGATGAGAACGCGCTTCGCGGAGTCCTGCTGCGGTGCGGCCTTCTTCGCGAACCAGGATCCCACCAGGTCCATGCTCTCCACGGTGTGCGCGCCATCCAGATGGAACCGACCGGACCGGCAGTCCCGCGTCTCGCAGCGGCCCGGCCAGCTGGCGGTCTCGAGCGCGCGACGGAATTTCTCCGGCAGGGGAGCGGAGGTGATGTCCTCGGGAATGTCCGAGTAGCCCATGTTGCGTAGATGGGTCGCCGCGACGGCTATAGCCAGACTAGCGTTTATCTTCTGGAAGTCTCCTGCTAGTCCCAGCTCCATGGTCTCCACTTCTGGGTGCATGGAGACAATGGTCAGTGGCGCTCCCACTTCAGCGGCGATCTTCTGCAGGGTAGCGGTAGCGCCGGGAGCTTGGGGAATAGTCAAGATCGGGACACCGGGCTTGATGATGCCGCCTTTGGCCCAGGCGATGTCCTCGATGGTGTTGCCGAGGACGTCGGTGTGTTCAAGTGCAAGACTCGTGATTGCGCTGACACTAGGTCTGTGAAGTACATTGGTTGAGTCATGTCGGCCACCGAGGCACACTTCGACCACGGCGGTGTCGACTTTCTCCTGCAGGAACCCGTGAAGGGCCACCAGGGTGAGGAAGCGGGCAAAGGGAGGGCCGCTCTTGGCATTTTCCTCTGTCAGGCCAAGTCGGCCCCAGACATCACAGAAGTACTGGATGAATTGGTCTTCGGTCAGAGACGTGTGGTGAAAAGGGGTGTCGTTGGACGGGCTGATCCGAATGCGCTCCCGGACAGTGCGCAGATGAGGTGATGTGTAAAGTCCCAGCTTCTTGATTGGGTTCTATGACATGTGTTAGTAGTGATTGCGGACTGAATTGTTCGACAGCTTAGCTGCAGTGGTTGCAGCGCTTACCTTGTGACCCTGGTACTCGGACAAAATCGAGAAGATAAACGCCGAGGTGGAACCTTTGCCTTTACTTCCGGCAATGTGCACCGCATTCAAAGGATCGAAATCGGGACTCTATAGATCGCTGTCGGTGGCTGTATATACTATCCTCGGTGAATATTACATACCTCATACCCCACAGCACGACACCATCTCAGCATGTCCTGGATGAAGACATCTTGGTCTACTGTCTCGATCTGGAGTTGGCGATACGCAAAGTTGGTGTTGAGCGTATTGAGCAGGCGAAGTGTGTCCTTTCAAGGTGTCAGCACCGGCTTTGGCCTTTATTTGGAATAACTCACATTGTATGTAGTCTCTACATTCTTTCCTCCCGCCCGTTCCGCCGAGGAAGGGTAAGCCGCGTCCGATGGGGGATCCATTTCAGGCATGAACTGAATTGACGGCATTTTGAGGGTGGATTGCGACTACCACGACCTTCTGGATCAAAAGATGTCCTGGCTGCCTTATTTGGTCAATGGTGAAACTCATTCTGATGAGCTTTATATAGACACCCAAGGGGCTTCAGTCACAATTACTTGGCATACTTTTCTGGTATGCATCCTTTGTTGGGCCAACATGCACCGAAGCTAAGCTGCAGGTCCGCGATGGCGTGAGTATTAGGGTTGCGCGCCCTACATGATCGACAGGTCGAGCCCGGACTTTCTTTCACCGCCAATAGTTTAGCTGTTGAAGAGTGGAGATGCATGATCGACGATGCAGCCGCTGACGCGGCTGCGCATTTAACTTCTTCTTCTACTTCTCGGCGTAGTTTCGTGTTCCATTGAAACTTGCTTTTGCACCCTGATCATCGTTGACGCCACCCTTGGGGCTCAGCCGCGATCTTCCCCAACTTTTTAGTTTCCATTACTTAAGGGTTATTCCCATAAAGGTCCCCATTTCCTCTTTCGGCAAGCTGAAGCCTTGAATCACACCGAACGTAGCTGAGAAAGTGACTCCGAACTTCTCGGGATCAGACGGAATTATACGTCCCCACGAAAGGCCCCGTGCCGTGAAAACACTAGCCAGGACGTAAGACATCCCATCCTTGATGTGATCTCCGGTTGCCAATTCCGGAAAACAAGCATCGATCGGACGGATGCATATGTCATCGGACAGGGAGAGGATATCAGCACAGAGCCCGTATAACTATGCCAGACATGGCAAGTTTCGCGGTCGATTGACGCTTTGGCTAAACCAAGTCATTCTTTTTGCATTTTCCAGGGCCTTTACCAACCCTTTTTCACTCCCTAAGGCAATCAAGTCAATTTATCATGTCTCAAGAAGTCAAGGACAAAGGTCCTCAGGAGGTTGTGCACACAATTGAGCTGGGCTCCCTTGGAGGCAGTTCCAGCAGTGTCAGCCTCCAGCCACTCTCTCAAACGCCCTCAGAGGCGCCACCGCCTCCTCCGCCTCATACAGTGCTGACGGAGAGGAAGAAAATCATGACCATCGCTATAGCGGCCATTGTGGGCTTCCTAGCTCCGGTATCAGCAAACATTTACTATCCAGCCATCGACCAACTATCAGACGACCTGCATGTCTCCGTCAGCAAGATAAACCTGACCATCACCACGTACATGGTAAGATTCTACCCCGGGTCCCAGAAATCGTGCAGCATAAGCTAATATATTTCGAATCAGATCTTTCAAGGAGTTGCGCCGTTGGTGACGGGTAGTATCTCCGACGTGTATGGCCGTCGGCCCACGATGCTGGTCTGTCTAATCACGTACCTCGCCGTCAATATCGGCCTGGCGCTACAAGACAACTATATTGCGCTCATTGTCCTCAGAACCTTCCAAAGTTGCGGAAGTAGTGCCATCTCGGTCGTTGGAATGGCTGTCACGGCCGACGTGGTCACTAGAGCCGAGCGTGGTAAATACATGATCTACTCGTCGCTAGGAATAACAATGGGGCCTGCACTGGGACCTATTATCGGGGGTGTCCTGGCCCAGTTTCTTGACTGGCAAAGTATCTTCTGGTTCCTAGCCATATTTGCCGCAGCGATGATAGTCTTGATTCTTGTCTGCTTCCCCGAAACCTGCCGCATGGTGGTGGGAAATGGATCCATTCCCGCGCCACGATGGAACCGTCCACTCATTCCAATCGTGGAGCCCTCAGCCTATGAGGGAGCTGAGGCGGCTAAGAAAGAGCTGGAAGACGGGCCTAAGCCCCGTCGACCGTCGCCAATAGACAGCATCAAGATCGCCTTGGAAAAGGAGACTGGCGCCATCATCGCCTTCTGCTCCATCCTCTACTGTGGATACTTTGCTGTCCTCAGTAGTTTATCTTCGGAGCTGGGGGAGAAGTATAACTACAACTCGCTCCAGATCGGTCTGTGCTATATCCCGTACGGCATCGGCAGTCTCACCTCACGGTGGACCGTTGGGCGATTCGTGGACTGGAATTTCCGTCGCGTAGGCCGGCAGCATGGCTTGGAGGTGGCCAACAACCGCCAGATGGACCTCCTTGAATTTCCCCTCGAAAAGGCGCGTCTTCAGATCACCTTGCCGATGGTCTATCTGTCCTGCATCTGCATCATTGGCTACGGCTGGGTCATGAATTACAGGACCCATGTGGCTGGACCGCTCGTTATGCTGTTTTTCACGGCGCATACTATTTCGGGAGCCACCAGCATCCTGGTCACACTGCTGATCGACTGCCACGTAAAGCGGGCGGCGACAGTCACAGCTTCCAACACGATGTTCCGTTGTTTTCTAGGTGCGGGTGCGGTTGCAGCTGCAGTGCCTATCATTGACGCAATCGGTATGGGCTGGATGGGGACCCTGATTGCTGTGCTGTGGGCAGTTGGCAGCATACTTCTTTGGGGTGTTCTACTCTGGGGCCACGACTACCGCAAGAAACTGGCGGGGAGGGTCTGACAGGATCGTCATTCATTCAGGAGTGCCAACGCACCCAAGATCTACGAGCCACTGTAGATCGAAGTAAGAAAAAAGGATGTTTCATAGATAGACAAGATCGGATAGGTAAAATCAGGAATTCGTGCCTTAGACCTCTCGTGCATATACCAGAAAAAGCCCTTTTCATGCGTACATTGTAGACGGAATTTGGTGACATCGCATTCCTAAAGCGGTCAAAGTTTGGACCTGTCGCCCGAGTATACGCAATGGCGTCCCTTACATCGCCCGTGCGCTGCCCTTGCATTCTGCTTTGTTCCGAATGTTCTTTGTAGAATGTGCTTTGCAGATTTGAGCGGGGATCAGGCTACGACATGTTGCTTACCCATCATGCCGTCCACGTATTCACCTTAAGGTGAGGAAAGATCATAGCCGTGTGATAGGATTCTAGTGGGAACCGGCGTCACATCATGAGAATCACGCAATGATTGTCGCCGGTGTGATACCAGAAAAGCAACAATCAGGGGAAACCAAAGTTCTCCGGACCGACGTGGCGGCCTCATTGTCCGAGCTGGCAAGTGAACTCCGAAGAGAGGTCCCGACAAGAGCTGTTGTGGAGTTGGGCAATATCTGCAGTGTCAGTCAGCATCACGAAATTGGCCGATCGCCGCCCCCGACGAGGGGTGCGGCCGGAAGTGCAGATCACCGGCCTGGAGCTGCAGCAAACCAAGACGGCCCCTGGCCCACACGTGCAGATCGATAGATTTCATCAGCAGCAGCCAGACCCAGGCTATTGTTCCATAGTTTCACGGTCGACAGGCATCATTGTTCAGCTCGAACATGGCTTGCGCCAGGAGGTTTATTTACGTAAATCCATCACCAAACCCTGCTGGCTGACAGCAACCCTTCGTCGTAGAAAGTATATAAGGGAGAGAGGATCCACTGAGAGACCAAAGCCCAGACACGAGCAGATCGAAGAAACTTGGTGACAGAGCCAGTGGTGTTAGTCTCGTGAAATTCTCTTCATCATGCATCCTCCACCAATTTCCCGACAACACAGCGACAGGTCTTCGCATACTGTTTCGAAATGGACTACACCCATCCCTCAATGTTCACTCCCCCGATTTGTCTTTGGCTCCCCTCGACGCTCTCCGAGTAGCCGAAAGATCCTCATTGATGCCGACTCCCCTGACACGAGAGCTTTGTCGCTGGCACAATACCGACTCCTATCTGCTCGTGTAGCGGTGGGCTTGCAGAAACTGGGCGTCAACCCGAAAGATCGGGTTTTGTGTGTGACCTCCAATGCCCTCTGCTATCCTGCGCTCCTCATGGGCACCGTGATGGCTGGCTGTATCTTCGCTTCAGGACAACCTGCCCTCAACCAGGCTGAATTCCATCGTCTCATCTGCTTTTCGCAACCTTCGGTAATCTTTGCCAGCCGTGCCACCCTTCCAGTTGCCCTTCAAGCCGCGCGTCTAGCCAATCATCCCGATGATCGAATTTTCGTCTTTGAGGATGACCTCCTAGACGGCTGCGGCGAGCCAGAAGGTCCAATTCAGCACTGGCAAACGATGGTGGCGTCCGAATGGGAGGGGTCCCGATTTTGGTACCCCTCTGTCATTTCTTCCCAGGAGTACAACAGTACAATTATGCTTCTTTTTACTTCCGGCACAACTGGTGAGCCCAAGGGTGTGGAACTGTCGCATCGTAACTACATCGCTGCAGCGATGGGATACATTCGACGAATTTCCTCGCATCCAGCTTGGAAGTACAATCCTCGTCTTGGCGGTCCTGAAAACGTCCGTGTGTTGGGATCCCTTGCGATCAACCACAGTGTGGGGCAGCGGTCATATTGCGCCATCTTTCCCAGGATGGGTGTTCCGCTGTACTTGATGCGACGCAATGATTTCCGAAGCATCTGCGAGGCAGTTGAGCGGTTCCAGATCACTGATGCAATCATTCGGAGCTCTGTTCTTACCTCCATGGCAAAGAATGCCCCCGTTTGTCAACAATACGATCTGTCATGCCTCCGTCGTGTCGAGGCGTGTGCTGCGCCAATGAGTCAGTTCACGAAGTTCAAGCTCGAAGGCATGGGGATTGGATACGTTGCCCGAGCCTGGGGGCTTACAGAGTAAGTGGGGTACTGCAAGACGAGTGTTCACAGTTGCTGACTCTATGACTGAATAGAACGGGAACTATTACTGGGCCCGATCCCCTGCGCCCGCCAAAGTCCGAGACGGTCGGGCAACTGAACGCCACATACGAAGGAAAAGTAACTGATTCCAGCGATTCCTCGCGGACGTTGAAGACAGGAGAGGTTGGCGACATCTGGATCCGCACGCCAGGATCAACACGAGGATACTGGAACAATCCCGCCGCGACAGAGCAAGTGATGGGAGCAGGCGGTTGGATCAGCACAGGAGATGTAGGATACGTCGATGACGAGGGCAATTGGTATATTGTCGACCGTAAAAAGGTAATTGTAACCTTGCCGCCAGTTTTGGCAGGAAACATAGGACTCTCGCTCACTGTTACCACAGGATTTGATTAAGGTTAACGGAAGTCACGTATCTCCGGTCGAGATTGAGTCTGTCCTACTACAGCACCCGCACGTCTGTGATGTTGGGGTTATCGGAGTCGCAGTGTAAGCCGCCTGTGTCATGGTTTGGAAGATGAATCTAACTCCCGAAGAAACGAGGACGAGGGTCCCCGGGCCTATATCCAGACGTACCCCAAGACCTCCGTGTCCGCCGAGGAGATCCATGAGCTCATCTCGGAGAAGCTACCTCCATACAAGCGTCTGTCAGGCGGTCTCTCGTTCATTGAGAAGATTCCTCGGAACGCGGTATGCACTATTCCTTGCCATTGTATTGTCCTCCATGAGTTGCAGATGCTGACCATACTGTTCGTGATAGTCCGGCAAGGTGTTGCGCAGTGAGCTTCGGCAACTAGCCATATCGGAGCTGGGAGACTATCTAGGAAACTACCATGGCACGTCCGCTTCCAGTTCCGAAGGGGGAGTGCACCTCTAGTCGTTGGTCAGGTCTTTCTGTCCTGCCAATTATCTGCTTCTGCGGGGATTTTCACGGGTCTCACACTGCTTCCAGTATAATGTCGACATATCTCCTCTTCTATGATAGGTGAGGCCCAACGTTGGGGGGTTCTGTTTCAGTGCAAGTAATAGGTTAATGGTCGCGCCAGCCACTCGCTCTTTGTTTCAGTCATTTGTTCATGTATATACATATATCCTTCACTAGCTTGGCGGGGTGAGCCCATTAGTCTCTAATGAAGGAAAAGTTCCTGGGAGTTACTGTTCACATGGTTGTAGAGGTTCATTGGCTGCCTCACAGATCTTCCTCTCTAGGCATCTGTAGCTCGGCATGTAAGTGTATCCAGACTGTAATCTTCGACAGTGCCCGGTATCTTTGATATACCTTATTTTATTTTTTATTTCCAGTATGGCAGGAGAGGTATGGATTGCAAGACAAGTGAGCAAAAGACGCGACTGGGGAGATGGATCGATCAGACATGCGGGGATGGAAAGGAAAGTGGGGAGAAAAAGGGGGGGCGGGGAAACACGGCAGAACCCCCGCGCGGGCCACGTGCCGAACCGCGGAAGGTCTCCTGGTTATTACTTTAAATTGGTGTTGATGAGTCGACCGTGAGATGATTACTAGTTGCTATCTACTACTGCTATGGGATAAAAATCTTTTGCATCCCACCTGATGGCGCTTGGCTAAGATACATGCCTAGTAGTACTGTCAATACAATCCTACTATCCGTACAAGCACTACTAACTGCACTGAATATATATATAATTGAGGTTACTCTTTCACTAGTTTTACCAGTATTACTGGAACGGTCTGGCCACTGCACGTCGATAGCATCGATTGTCGAGCACTTACAATCATAGCATCTAGAGTAGCAAGTATCATGTTGGTGTTCGCAATCTACGCAGAGTATCGGTTACTTCATAAAGAGAAAATACAGAAAGACAGGCGCCTGACGGTTGTTGCAACCTGAGGCAGAAGCAGTCCACTTCGGGATTAGCGCAGAGGCGGGCCCTTGACTCCCCCACAACAAGTTTCCGGCTGCAATCGCGCAACAATCAATTAGTTGTCAAGGACTCCGTACGGAGGAGTGAATCTATTTCCTCCGGAAAACAAATGTCGTGTCACCCTCCACAGTTTCAAGCTTATCTTCTCTTCATTATCAGATTATCACACATCAACGACCAAGCATGATCTAAACTTGTCCCGCATGCAGACCTTCACCGTCAACTCAAATCCAACAACATGATGGCATGAGTGACAGGCTGCGACCGCACTCCCGAACGCCCACTCCGATCCTCGCGTGCGACCCTTGCCCGATTTGACCATGCCAATTCGACTGCCAGGTCTTCCACAGTGCACAATGATGCTATATCAATCCGCAGGATGGGACCAGTTCGGGAGTTGAAAACCGGATCGAGAACCCCGGATGCCTACGGAAAGCCTTAACTCTGACGGGCAGCTTCAACCACGGTCGGGGATGATGTCATGTCGAGTGAACCTGGGATCGGGAGGGGTAGATATACTGCTGGATGTGCAGGCCTGGCAGAGGTGTGTTCACCTCCTAATCGGCCCACGAGACATTCCCAATCAGTATGGTCTACAACATCACCGAGAAAGAAACGCAGCCTACTATTTGGAGCCACATCAATGGCTCCGAGGGCGATATCCTCGATCGCTACTGCGTCTCCGAGCTCTGCAAGGGTTGGCCAGTATATCGCGACGCCTCCGAATGGAACCACTACCGCCATCTCTTTGTCGACAAGGGCGCTTTTGTCTTCACTAGTAGGTCGCGTCTCTCCTTCCGGGGCAGCCAGTCCAGCTAACATGCCATGACTCTTTCCAGCCTGGAGCGGCGGACTCCCCATAGACGATTTCATCCAGACATCCATCAAGGGACGCGCCAACGGAGACCACATCATGCATCGCGAAAACGGCACGCTCGTTGACCTGAACCCGACCACCGGTCGCGCCATCGGTAAAATGAAGGCCACCATCACTCAACGCTTCAGCTGGGACGGAGTTGAGTTTGACGTCGAGTGTGATTGCCGCTTCATAAACTTTTGTCTGAAACAGGGAGGGGATTGGAAAGTGGTCTACATAAAATTGTTCTACGAGAAGGATCGCGTCACACCCGCAGATGGCCAGACGGTGCCGAAATTTGACCGGGCGGAGTTGGAGAAATACCCCAAGGGATACCAGTATCTGGCAGTGGCACAGGCCAAGTTGGGCCATCCCATCTTGAATGATTTGCCGACGATGAACAACAAGGCGTTCTTCAAATTGTACGAGGCAATGGATGCGTGGATGGAGGCCCGACCGGTCGGAGATCTACTGGAGATTCCCAAGGAAGCGGCGCCACGGTACTGAATTCAAACCACCTAATGCCTTAATGAATTTTTCAGCAAGTGTCATTTATTTGATACTTTCGAGTCAGTTTGGGGCTAAGTCACCATCCCAAGCTCGATTCATTGCAGATAGCATATCATCATTCATCGCAACATATTATCAACCAAAATGAATATTTTTTACAACCCTACATATCATGTCCAAATACGGAATGGAATCGAGGAATTGTAGCATCCACCATCCAACCAGTCCCCAGTCACCTTACGCACCGGGGTACCCTCGCCAAACTCCAGAATCTGCCCACCCCCCGGACTATCCGCATCAAAAGCCGGCCATCCGACCGTGACATTAACCGTGGAAGCATCTTTCAAGAACGCCAGGATATGATCCTGCATCGTCTCAGAAGTCTTCACCTCCAGCCCCGGGACCTCTCCGACGTCTTCGCGATAAGTTCCGAAGATCATCAACAAGTCCGACCAGTGGAACGCTCCCAGCCAGTCGACAGGACTGATATTGGTGAAGTTGCCGGCCCAGAAGTACCGGTACGTCTCGAGCCCGAGCGATTTGCGCAAAGCCGAGTCCTGGGCAGCTCTGCAATCCCATTCCCCTTCGCTAATCATCACGCTCGTGGTATTCGCCGATGCGTCCTCGCGGGCCGCGTCGGAGCGGATGGCTGGGCCTCGGGCGACCTTGCCTTCGAAGTATCGCTTTGATTCGTTGGAGAAGATGTACTTCTCGTCGGCTGGAAGTATCGTTAGTACGGAAAAGATGGAGGTGAAAGGCATTTCATACGGATGTAATTGCTGAATGCAATCGAGGGTGATCCCGAGTACCGATTAATGTACTCCTCAATCTGCACCCAGGAGACCTGACGCATGCACTCCAGCTCGGCTTCCGCATCATCGCCGTAGTTACAGCCTAGGGCCTTGGCGACAATGTCAAAGTCCTGGTAGACGTCGTCGGTGGTGCTCAGGTCAATGGTGACCGATGGTGGCTGTGAGATGATTCCGAATTTGACTGCTAGTGGGTCATCGGGGAAGGCGAGGGTGTAGAGGTGTGTCAAAGCTGCTCCTTGGGATTGACCCCAGAGCTGCAGATAATAGTTAGTCGCATTGCACAGAGCTAGTTCAGCATGGTGGAGGATGACCGACCATGATATTGTCGCGATCTCCACCAAAAGCCTCGATGTTCTCATGCACCCATTCCGCCGCTGCCCTCACGTCCAGCAGCGTGAGCGACGTGTCGTTCAGGGCCCGGGACTTGGGATCTACAAGGCATACATGTTAGTGGATGCAATAGCGTAGCAGGCGGGAGACATACTTCCAAAGATGTTCGCGCGGTAATTGATAGTCACGACAATGTGTTCCTGCGAGCGAGACACCCACGGCGAGGGCAGCTGAGAGGGGATTTCAATTCCTCCAGTGATACCTCCTCCGCCAGTCACGAACAGTGCCACAGGCAACTTCGAGGTGCGATTGGCATAGGACGGGGTCCAGACTGCCAATGACAGACAGTCTTCCGACGTCGACCAAGCCACTGCCCCTTGGTTCAGGCTTTCTCCCAAGTTGACCAAGAGGTTAGGGGGTGAATATTCGTTCCACATGGTGCTTTCACCAGTCACATATTGCGGACAAGCTGGCCGTGGGTTAGCCGATGTCGCAACCGGGACTTCGTACAGTATGTTAGGGATTTGCAGTACCTGGGCCGTATCGCGTCGAGTCATACTTCCTGCGCGACTTTTCAGGTTTTTGTGGGGGCATCCAGCGAAGGTCACCGACAGGAGGCTATCGCATATGATCTGGTTAGCAGAGATAGTCATGTCTAAGAAGTCAACCGTCACCGACCTTGGCATATGGAATGCGCAGGAATTGGCGAACATTGGGGTAAGTATCATTCAGCATGCCGATGAAGGTGCCCGTCTGCGTCTCCACGGTCAGATTGGACCAGTTGGAGAGCGTCCGCGGAGGCTGCCAGGTAAGATTGGCATAATATGGCGGATAGACCTCGGCGGACGCAATAGCAGCGCTCCCAAGAAGGGCGCTAATATTCCAGGATAGCTTCATAATTACTGTCTGCCGTTCCTGGCTGGTTCTGACATGTCCCGGATGATCCTTGGGCGCTCTGTGGCACCTTATATAGCTCCAAACATCCCGTGGGAAAAAATCCTTCTCAAAGCTTGAGCTCCGTCATCCATCCCGGGCGTTCGGAGTAATCCAGGAAGAAAGCTCAACAGTGGGGAAGTCGGATGCTGTTTCTAGGACTGATTTCCGGGCCGGTATAGATGCGATGGACGCCAGAGAGGGCCGATTGGCGGAGGAAGGACTAGCGGATATGTCTTATGCCGGATGGTGCGGTGGTTCCATCCCCACGCCAGCCTCCCCGCGTCCACTTCCTGGGGATGGACGAGCGGCACTGGCCGAAGGGTCCCATTTGGTCCCAACGATGATGCAGAATGCAGCTTATTGCGGGGACTCGGAGAGAAGGACGGGATGACCGACAAATCAGCGGTAGTGCCGTATATTAAAAATGACGGTGGGAGTGCTTGAGCCCATTCTGGGTGAAGCCCGATTGATTCCATTGCCTGAAGGAATCCCCATTAACACCGGCACCGGCTCTCTCGCCAGAACATTTATCGACCTCTACAAAGGTGTTGCGTACATTTCGACTGCATTGTCTTTCGAAAAGGATGACAATTCCACTAATTATATTGTCACATTATGTAACACACACGACCATACCAGATGTCAAACCTGACGAAAAAAAAAAAAAAAAAAAAAAAAAAAAAAAAAAAAAAAATTTCAGCCGGTGGATACAAAAGGTCTTCCGGCCAAAGCTGTTTAGCCCGAAGCTCCCGAAGTGCAAGTGACGCCCAAATCAGACGGGGTGTTGGCGCACAACACTTCAGACTTGCCCGATGGCGCCTTGACGTCGAACCCACTGATGGAGATGCCACAGGTTCCATCCGCACCGCAATCAAGGTTGGCCACAACCGGGTCGTACTTGTCACTGGTTGTCCCACTGAAGCTTGACACGACAATATCCGTCAGTTTGGCGTTGCCCGGGTTTTCCGCGCAATAGTCATCGTCCTCGCCATAGCAGCTCTGGATCTGGAAGGCGTAGTCGGTGTTGTCCACAGTGAAATCGTTGAAGGTCACATTGCTGACCGTGGAGGTACCGTGGTCGCCTCCACTCGGATAAGTCTTGATCCCGGCGGCTTTGGTGGAGTTGATCATAGTTGCGCCCGTGACATAAATGTTCTTGACCGAGTCGTCGCTTGACTTGCCCAGCGATCCCACGGAAATGCCATGGGAGCCGGTGCAGCTGATCGTGTCCACTGTCACGTAGTTGGAACTGGGCTTGAAGGCGACACAGTCATCATCGTTGACTACGGTGACCTCGGTGATGGTCACGTAGGTACTCTCGCCAATGTCGAACCCATCGGTGTTCTTGGGCGGATTGTCCGACTTGGAGTTGGCATCCATCTTCAGGTTGGAGAAGACGACGTTGGTGGCGCCACCCTTGACCGAGTTGAACACATTAGGTGGATTCTTCTGACGCAGCCCGGAGATTTCCAGGTTGCTGCCGCCAGTGATGTACAAGAGCGTTGGACGTGAATAACTACTGTCCGAAGCAAAGAGGTCCCACCTGGATTGGATCGGTCAGTCAGGTGAAGTCTTGCTTTGGAGAAGGGTGACCACATACGCATCCTGGCCATTTCCATCAATGACACCAGACCCAGTCAATGAGCGCAGTTTCAAGCCATCAACATCGGAAACACTTATCATGGCAGTGCGACCGCTCCAGTAATCGGTATCGCTGGCAAACTTTAAAAGACCTTCCACCTGGATGTCGCAATCACTGCAGCTGCTCAAGTCCAGCACACTGTTGAGGTAGTAGGTGCTGCCCTCGGGGAAGACGATGGTGCCACCATTTCCGCACGAGCTGAGGGCCTCGGTGATGGCGGGGACATCGTCGGTGGAGGAATCGCCTCCTGCGGTTGGGGTACAGACAGCGCGAGCGTGAAGGGAAGAATCTGGGGCTCGCTGGACCTTAGAGGGAGCAGCATTGCTTAGCCCAAGGCTGGCCAGTAGGAAGAGGTTACGATATAGCGCCATGGTGGGCACTGTTGTGACAATGAATATGGATTACTCGCAGTTTCGGAACAGGTGACGAATCTGGCGATGCCCAGCTCCCTATATACGAATCGCATCTGCCCGACGAATACCGTAGTGCACCTCATACAGCAGTAGCATTAAGTTGCAGCGGAATGAATCAGTGAGGATTGTAGGATGCCGAGGCAGACCCTGTCATCTCGGCTGGGGTCCAGTTTGAAACGAGCCGGATGCTTAATTTAGTGACGGAGCTACCGCCGTGCCCTGACCATGTCATGGCCTGTTTAGTATCGGTTAGTTGGCCTACAACAGCTGGCAGGGTCCTCAATGAACTGTGAACACGACTTTGCAATTTATTCTTATGCCAAACTGCCGACCGATCCCTGCGAGGCACGATGAAACCCCGCCCACTAACATGCAACACTCGACCGTTCCAGGAAGCAGAGCGGCCAGCTGACGTGCTGGTATGTCGATCCGGATAAATTGCAAGGGCTGTTCCTCCGCCCCCTGCTGACGGCTGAACCCGTCTAGTAGCTTTCCGATGGCACGCCGCCAATCGCTCCATTCTGCACGGAAGACCGTCGGTATCAACGGCGCGTTCCTGCAGGCGGAGGGTGCTTATTTGAAACGCCATGGCGTCCATGCCGGGAAGGGTAGATGGTTATTCATGGAAGTGTGGAGTAAATTCTCCGGCACTGGTGTCTCTTGGCGCTTGGCCGCCGTTCGGTCCCAGTGTCGTGTTGGCAGCCTTCTAGGGCGAAGAGAGACATCTGGAGATGTCATGGCATGAGCTGACAGACTTGTTGACGGTGCTCAGAAGCAGGCTATATAGCTGCTTGGCGTGCCTGTCGATTCCTTCCTTTTCTGACCCCCTTGCCAGGACATTATCCTCACTTTTTCTAGTCCAGGCGATCTCACAGCAACAAACCATCATGTATACTTCATACCTTCTGGCCACTCTTGCCGTCCTAACTGCTGCCGCGGTCGGAGCTCCGGCAGAGCACATTAAGAAGCGAGAGAGTCGGACTAGTGCTCCCTCGGGGTGCCTGACGGTCGGAGCGGACGGCACATATTCCAAGATCGGTGATGCGCTTGATGCTCTGGACTCGTCCAGTTCGGCCGCTTGCATTTACGTTGCCAGCGGCACGTATGAGGAGCAGCTGACCATCGACTATGGTGGCAACCTCACACTGTACGGTGAGACCACCGATACTGGCACCTACAAGGACAATGTAGTTACCATTACCCACACCATCTCGTCGTCGGATGCCGGATCTCTCGACAAGAGCGCCACCGTCAACGTGGTGTCGGACGGGTTCAGCATGTACAACATCAACGTGGAGAATGGATATGGAGAGGGATCACAGGCGGTAGCGTAAGTATTCTGACTTTTCCCCAAAGAAAAAAGAGTGGTAGCTTAATAGCTTGGTAGCCTTGTTGGAAATGCAGATCAGTTGGGCTTCTATGGGTGTCAAATCAGCGGGTACCAGGATACCCTCTATGTCAAGGCCGGAACCCAGTACTACTCCAACTGCATGATCGAGGGTCAGTATCTGTCCAAACAGCACGAGTAAAGATTAACTGACCATTCTAGGCGCGGTCGACTACATCTTCGGGGATGCATCGGTGTGGTTTGGCGAGTGTGACATTGTGTCCAACGGCGCCGGAGCCATCACGGCCTCATCGCGCGAAACCTCATCCGACTCAGGCTGGTACGCCATCGACAACTGCAACATTAAGGCTGCATCAGGTGTCTCCCTGACGGAGCAAGTCTACCTGGGCCGGCCATGGCGCGTGCTTGCACGGGTCATCTACCAGAACTCGGTGTTGTCGGACATCATCAACCCCAAGGGGTGGACGACGATGGCAGACGGTGCGACACCGCTGTATTATGAGTACAACAACTCTGGAGCGGGATCAGACACATCAGACCGCGAGTATGAATCCTCCATTTCCGCGGCAGTTGACAAGACCACGGTGGTGGGCGAATCATGGGGCGACTGGATTGATCGCAGTTACTAAGTGTATTGTGGGCTGGACCAAAAATCAGACAAGCACCTCATCGGCGGCGCGATGAGGCCATCGTATGATCGGCCCCCACAACCAGTATAGCCATACCCTATACCTTAATATGACTTTAATACAGTTAAGAACTTGATTTTACCCCTTGTTCCGGCAGTCTGGATCTCATTCCGAACTGGTCGATTTTCAGCAGATCCCGCGCATATCCCGTAGTGATCCCGTCCACTCTGTAGTCAATTTCTGCTCACCACTCGGTATCCAAATGGCGTAATGGCCCCAAAATGAGCCCTGGGCGTTTATAAGATATCGGGATCTGGGGACCGCCCCTAGAACTGGAGATCCTGAATCAGCCCAACTATCTATTCCTACCTGCACCATCTTCACAGTGTAGCACCATGTCTACCAGCTCGCCAACAGAGATCAAGAATGCCACCGATGCATTCGACATTGAGCGACAAGCATCTGCATCTGCAGCTGCAGCTGCAGTGCCAGTCGCACCCAAATCCCTCGGTGCAGGCGTAAGTCAGACTTCTACATTTACCTCGAATCATTGACTAATGTCCATGGAATACGCAGTCAGCCCTAGCTCTGGGCGCATTCGGCACAACTTTGACTACCCTATCTCTCAGTCTGATGGAATGGCGCGGCGTGACCATCACCAACGTCTACGTGGGCAATTTCTTCTTCATCGCAGCATTTGGACTGGTCATCACCGCACAATGGGAGCTCTCGGTGGGGAATGGTTTTGCATACACGGTATTTAGTGCATTCGGTATATATCCCTCAGGCACCCCGTTCCTTGCATCTCAGCATGAAAAGTAGAAAAGGCCAACCAGACTGATATTCCGAACAGGTCTCTTCTACGCTGGCTACGGCGCGATCCTCACCCCAGCCTTTGGGGTCGCACAAGCCTACGGATCCGACACAACGCAGTACAATAATGCGCTGGGGTTCTTCATGATACTATGGACAGTATTCGTGTTCACATTTCTCATCGCATCATTGCCAATCAATCTGGCGAATATTGCAGTGTTTTTCTTTGTGGATCTGGGGTTCTTGACTGTGGCGGCGAGTTACTTTGCGGATGCGGATGGACACGCTGACTCGGCGAGAGCATTGCGCAAGACTGGAGGGGCAAGTTGTTTCGTGGCGGGGATGGTGGGGTGGTATATTGTGTTTCATTTGTTCCTGAAGGATAATAGGTTGTTGGAGTTGCCGTTGGGGGATACGGGGAGGTATTTTGCGAAGAGTAGGAAAGGGAGGGAAGAGTAGTAGAGGGGGTACGCAGTGTGGTGGGGTTAGATGGAGATCGACAATAGGAGGAGTAATTAGTAGTAGTATAATAATATATATGGTTATACTAATGTACCGATTTAATTATTGTGCATCCAGATAAGCTTATGTTCCAAGCCAACCCCCATAATTGCGCTGCTTATGCCATTCTCAGCGGGATAACGACATCTCTCTTCCACTCGAACTATCCAACAACCCTGACCTTGTCGATCCACGTTGCGATGTGCTCAAGCCCGCAGATGGCGTGATCCGTGCGCGTCATTTACAAGATTCCAGCGCAATCACCACCACCTCTGGACTACTTTTTGAGTCTATCAGCAGACACTACTTATATGCAAGTAGTTGCCCGGTGCCACTATGCTCGCAGCAACTCCTCATAACCTTTCACAACCCCTCACTCTCCCAACTCACTATCTTCATCACCACCACCACCGCAATGACCCAATCCGACGTCCCGGCCACTGACCCAGCCATCTACGAGGCCTATAAATCCCAATGGGCCTCATTACCCGACACTGCCGAAGCCTGGCTAGCTCGGGCGCGTGAAGTAGCCACCGTACTAAGCAAAGACGTAGCGCAGCGCGAGCAAGATAACAAGTCCCCACGGGCGGAAGTAGCTCTACTCAAACACTCCGGATTGTTGAAGCTGCTGGGTCCCAAGAAATACGGCGGAGGCGAACAGCCCTGGAGCGTGGGATACAAGGCCATTCGCGAGGTGGCCAAAGGAGATGGGTATACACTCTCCTACCCATTCCATTCCAGCATCCACATCACACGACCGCAATACTAACCAAAATACACCAGATCAATCGGTATGCTCCTAGGCTACCACCTCCTCTGGTCCACCACCGCCAACATAGTCGGCACCCCCTCTCAAGCCGACCGCATCCACCAATGGATCATCACAAACAACTACTTCGTCGGCGGGGCCGTCAATCCCCGCGATAGCGATCTAACCATCACCTCCGATGGAGAAGACATCATCTTCAACGGGGCCAAATTCTTCAACACAGGCGGTGTCGTCTCCGACCTGACCGTCCTAGAAGGTGTCCTCGACGGCACAGGCGAGCACATTTTCGCGCTCGTCGAGACCCGACAGGCGGGGATCAAATTCGCCCATAACTGGAACAACATTGGACTACGCTTGACCGAGTCCGGAGGAGTCAAGATAGAGAATGTGCGCGCGCCGTGGACAGACGCATTGGGATGGGATAATATGTCGAAGAGGCCGCGCGAGGAGGTTCTGGGCGTGCCGTTTGCGAGTTTGTTGCTTCCGACGTATGTTTCTCCCTCTCCTTCTCCAAACATGAAATCGTCACCTGCAGTACTAATCAATTACCTGGACAGGATTCAACTCGTCTTCAGCAACTTCTACCTCGGCATCGCTCAAGGCGCACTGGCCTTCGCATCCCAATACACCGTGAGCACGACCCGCCCGTGGCCCTTCGGCGGGGACAACAAGGCCTCCGCGACCGACGAGTTCTACATTCTCGAGCGATACGGGAACTTCTTCGCGCATCTCCGTGCGGCGGAGGCGCTGGCTGATCGGGCTGGCGAGGAGATCTCATCCTTGTATCGCGAACACTCGGAGAATCGGCCTGGGTTGACGGCCAGACAACGGGGTGAGTTGGCCGAGTGGGTTGCCAGTGTTAAGGTGGTTACTACGGATGTGGGGTTGAGGGTGACTTCGGGGATCTTTGAGGTTACTGGTGCGAGGGCGACGGCTGTGAAGGTCGGGTTGGATCGCTTCTGGCGGGATATCCGGACGCATACCCTGCATGATCCGGTGGCGTATAAGAATCGCGAGCTGGGGAGGTATGCTCTGTTGGATGAGGTGCCGGAGCCATCGTGGTATACTTAGAGTTGCGTTAACTGCTAGCGTTTATTCGTATGCATCTTTCAAATCGGCGTACCACTGAAATTGGAATTAGACTATCTTGAATACATCATGTTAAAGTACCATTATATAGCACGGACATCGTGCCAGCTAGTATCATGTTGTGGAATATAAAGCCCGATCGAAAATTGATTAAAGTACAGCTACAGAGACTAATAAGAGTAGAGACATAGGGATAAGGTTCAATTTCATAACAACTCACTAACAAAGCATGCAGAGCGAGTAGTAAATGCTCACACAGTCTCATTTCACGAGGAGGTTTTTGCTACTCTCCCTGGACTACTTCATCTTCCCGCTTTGGCCGCGTTGACTGAAGGGCGGAATGACGGCCAAGATCACTGCACAGGAATAACGAGCGCCGATACTAGCCTGATTGTCATAAGATATGTGAGAGAATGCCATCTCCTTATGCTTGGCTTCGACAAGCCAGGTAATGCCGGGGGGGTAGTATGACGGCCAGACATCGTTGGTCACCTGGCAAGTGGAAAGGTTTAGTTTTCAATTCCACAAGAAATTCCGAGATGTAGCTTACCTCTTTGAGGTCCTCCTCCTGTCCGCGTTCAGACCCAATGTACCTTCGGAGATGCGGAGGCACACGGACACCCCATTCCTCGTAGAGGCTGTTCGGCTTCTTTGGCAGGTGGTGCTTTTCTCCAAACGAGAAGGCTTCTATCACATCAACCACTTCGCGTGTCAACAACAAACGCTTCCAGTGCTGGTCCTCATCAAGAAGTGCACTACTAGACTTCCAAGGGTACACTTCGCTATACCTGAGGGAAGACTCTTTGCCCCTTGCCAGGTAATCTTTCGGAACAGAACGCCAGTATTTTCTCTTGTAGTACCACCCACGCCCAGAATCTGAGTCTTGCTCAGAGGCTGAGTCCTGTTCAGAGTCGCCGAAGTAAGGTGCTCCATTACCTTCATAGTCTTCATCATATTCCAGAACCGGGAGGATGCTGACATCCATACCAAGTGCTTCAAAAACCGCATAGACGACAAGGTCGGCGCCCTTCGATGAACGCGGGAGCTGGAGCCCGGCTATATCCGAAGAATGGGGATAGGCATGGGAGCAGTGGACTCCAAAGACGCCGCCTAACACAGACCATTAGACATGGTATATTCGGAGTACAAAGAAGATGTTGATCGGCGGCAACATACCATCTTTCATGAATCCAGGGGTGGTGAGTAGACTTTCAATCAACCCATAAAGTGGGAGAGTGTGTGGATCAAGCACGGGACGGATGGGAGCGAGTATGGCACCGGGCATTTCCCGTACATATAGGTTGTATGTGAGCGTGATCCGATGGCCCGCTCTGATCGTCTCGATTTCATGCTCGCAATCCGAGTAGAAGGCTGCCCATTGGATACTAGAGCTACTTTGTCGGCTCCATTCAAACTTGGCCATCTGCCCGTGATGCTGCACAGTCAGGTTGCCTCCCTCGAATTGGCATGGCAGACAAACCACGAGTGATCCAATCTGGTGCTCCGAGCGTGGCGTGTCGACATGCTTTCGGAAATGCCCAGAAGGGCCCGAGTACACCTGCAGTGATTTCAGTCAGCACATGATAATGTTAGGGACGGGAGCAAACGGACATTTAATTTATACAACTCAGCCTTCAGCTTGCGGAACTGCAATCGATTCTCGGTCTCACCGCTGATACCAGGCAGAAGGATCTGCTCGATGAGCTCGATAATGCCAAAGTCGGCTGGGTGGAAGCTCGTCAAAAATCGGTCGGGGTCAAGCTTCCCTGCCCGACGGTATTCAGGGTCAAGGATGTCCTGCCCACCCCTACCAAAACTCGCAGGTTGGCAAGCATCAAGAAGTGTTTGGAGTCCGTGAGTTGAACCATCACTGTTCTCACTTAGCACTGGAAGTGTGAGCTTTTGTGCGGTGGAGTCGTGCTCGGCACCCCAGTGAAGCACCTGCACACGGGGTGAAGTAGGTCCAGCTCTTACTTGCTCAGAGCCGATGGGATTCGCAATCGGGATGCTGCCTCCACATGTAAACAAGGCAGACGAGGTTTCTCTCTCAATCGCTACTGTGATTGTTTCAACAAACCGGAGGTAAAACCAAGCTAAGCCTAATATTTAACAGAAATGAACAAGTATCTTCCTGTATCATCTACTCTACGGTAATAACAGGTATCTTTACAATGTTCCTCAGCTAGTGGTCACAGTATAGGATTTTATCAGACAGCTCCAGGTTGAAAATCTTCCTGCCTGACATCCAAACATAGTTCAGTGCGATTTCATGTCAGGATTACTCAAATAATTGAAAAGTAAAACTGGCGACATCTCTATCCGGACACCTCCCATGTGGGCTGTCCGTGTCTTTTGGTACTGCGGACATACTGCTGTCGCTTTTAACCATGCCGTTGATCCCACCCCCGTCTGTGTACAGTGCTACAGCCGACTAGTCCTTGCCTGTAATGTCATTGTGACTTGTGATTGGTTGTTCTACGATCTTATCGATCGTCACCTCTGGCAGTGCCCAGTATGCTCCCGATATATACGACGTTTACAATCTCAGACTCCAGGGAACAGACGGCGAGATCGTTCATGTCGGAGACTTAGTCATTGGAAGGAAAAGTGATCATAATACTAAATAGAATTGTCAATTTTAGTAGGTGAGCCCGGTCAATAACTGGTTTGCCCTGTATAGATATTCATAAGATGCACAGTCTCTCACTTTTTCTGCGAATATCGCGAAGACTACGTCCGCAGGACCTCGACCCATCTGACTGACGACATCCTCAGATTGAATTTCTGGATCACTGGGTATTGCCGCTAGTAGAGATGTGGAGCTAAAGGTAAGAGCTCTAAAGTGTGGGTCTTGGAATCGTAATGGTGAGAAGCGGTTATTGCTAGCTGGATACAGCATGTTGTGAGTCATCTAACCGCGAAGGATTCCTGCATACGCGATGAAAAACTGGCTAGTTGTTAGTTGTTTGTATATTGACGTGCGATTAAGATAGCATAACTATAAATCAATCGAATATTATCTGCACAATGATACTATAACCATATTCTAAATGGCGTGTTTGGTAGTTGAATAGCCTCGTAGAGGTTGGTGGTGGTGGTGGTGGCGATTTGAAGAGAAGTTGGGCGGACCGTGAGTTACATATCATTGGATGCGTGAGGTTAGGACCAATCCGCCCCACTTAACAGCTCATCTATCAGGATTTACATTTTGTGAAGATTTGTCGGGACAATTCTTCTACAACAAGTTAATGCCGAACTTTTAGCAAAGATGATCAGCTCATGTCTTCGCTTGGATCCAGCTGTGCGGAATCATTTCAGAGTTTTACCATGAATTTGTGATTATAAATCAGGGAGATTTCAGTAAGGCAGTCAATATGCTATCGTAGCGGAGACTTTCCCCTTTCCGGTAAAATGTCCTGCAGGGTTCGCGATCTCGGGCGACGCCATTGAGAAGATGATGGACAATATCCACCTGGGCTTCTGGTTCTTGATAACGTCACCATACCTTACAAGTACGAGGCTAGATTGTCTAAATGGTTGACCCCTTACCGTGACTACAATGAGGGTCAGGAGTCAAGAATTGCAATGTTAAACAATGTCATAACTTATAGAAACCATGTCAGAGAAGTTGATAAGCCAACGTGCTGCTGTTACACAGGATCTACTTGGTTTCCTTAATACCATATAACCTTTGTCATACAGAATAAATATATATTAAGTATTCTGTCGCATATTAGTTTCATCATCTGAGTTTGTGTTAGTTGACAAGTGAAGAGCAAAATACTGATTCTAAAAATAACGTTTAAGCCTAGAAAAATAATTACGTTTATAGTCTTACAGACAAATCACTGTTCAAAGGAGAACTGCACCAGATGCCAAGCTAAAAGGTTAATAACCTATCAGATACGAAGCTGACTTTCGAATACTTCGCTGTATGATTATAAATCAGATTGTAGTTTGTCAGCCATGGAAAATGCTGGATGTAACCGGGAGACTGGAGAATCTGTCTTTGCTTCCAGCTTAAAGGTATAAATATAACCATCTACAGAACCATATTCGTGAAAGATCATCTTAAACTATCTTAACATCTGTTTCAGTGTTTGTTCAAGTCATTACTTATCAACCATGTCTCCTAAGGTTCTCATTGTCCTTACCTCTGCTGGCGAGTTCACCACCAAGCCTGGACACCCCACTGGCTGGTACTTGGTACGGATATAACACTTACCAGCAAGACCCGGCAAAGTTATATGTAATCACTGACAGAATGTTTAGCCTGAATTCGCCCATCCCTGGAATGTGCTCAAAGATAAAGTTGAGCTTACCATTGCTTCTCCTAAGGGTGGTGAAGCTCCTGTTGATCCCAGCTCTGTGGAGGCGTTCGCAAGTGACGCTGAGTCTGCTAGTTTCTTGAAGGAACAGAAATCACTCTGGACTCACACTCGGAAACTCTCTGATTTGGATGCTGCTGACTATGATGCTGTATTCTATGTTGGTGGTCATGGTCGTAAGTTTTCAATTACTCCCGAATAATAATCGATAGCGTGTATTTACTTTTTGCAATCCTAGCCATGTTCGATCTCTTTTCCAACAAGGACTCCTTGAAATTGATCCAGGACTTCTCTGTTGCTCGCAAGCCTATTGCTGCTGTTTGCCATGGTTCCGCAGCCCTCATCAAAGCAACAAATCCCTCTGGTCAGTCAATCTTGGCCGGTGCCCAAGTCACTGGATTCTCCAACACCGAGGAGGATCAAGCTCAACTGTCTTCCTTGATGCCTTTTATGCTAGAGACAGAGTTGAACAAGGTCTCTAATGGCGGTTATGTCAAGGCTGATAACCCTTGGGCTGAAAAGGTTGTCGTTTCCAAGGCTGCCGAAACTGGAGCTCCTGTTATTACTGGTCAGAATCCTGCCAGTGGAACTGGGGTCGGAAAGGCGATCCTCGCTGCTTTGAATCTTTGATTAAGTGTGCTCAATGTGACCAAGCGTTGCGCTGAATGGGGAAGCTTGCAAAGCAAAGCTTGCAACCATGTCTTCACCGAAGTACATAGTCATATGTACCAAGCTATGTGAGGGCGTATCACGGTTGGCGAAGACGCAGCTTAATGCAAATCCTGGCGGGTGGACGTCATTTCACCCGTCCAACAAGTGTTCAATTACACTTTGTTCGTACGAAATGCAATATAACAGATATAAAATAGTGACATAACTTGGAAGACTTTGAAAAAGTTTTGCTCCTGTAGCACTACATCGTTTCCCCAAGCTATTCTTTTTATCAGAAGCTCTGTAGCCTCCTCACCCAAATGAGGGACCAGCATTTGAGATAGAGTCAGAATTATAGGTAGCCTGACTTTGTATAGAGTCATTTAGCCGATAGCCCTTATGGCAAACATTACCCGAAACCCCTGCAGTATTTTTGAAACAGAAGTATTATGTACGAAAGGCATGAGGAAAATATGCTCCTGGATATCTGCTCTTCTGTGTTGGGTGTAGGCACCATTACCCCAAGAAAGATATTGTATATATATATAGGACATTGTCTATAATCATACGCAGGTTACTACTGGGCATGATATAACATATCTTTTGAATTACCTGTCTGTAAGCCGATGACAGAGGTGGCCATAAAGAGGATAATATGTTAAATGCCCGGGCATTCGCTTTTCCCGATTAGTTGACGTTAGGAAGCCTCGGTATCATGAAAATGATATAGCGCATTGCCATAAACAGAAGCTGGAAAAACAGAAGCCTTAGCGTGTCTTGGTATTAGGGTTTGGAAACAATAGAGTAGTATAGATAGTAAGGGCAGTTTCTGGATTATCTGTGCATATCCTCGGGGTCCTCATCAACTTCGACAAGTCTATCTTTGTCGGAGGTTTGCTGCAGGTATTCCCGGTCGCAGGCTACCCTGGAGCCGACAGCCTCCCATCGGCTATTGATTTTTCGAAGAACTTTCTCATTTCCAAGGACATCAGTGTTTTCCTCGACATAGCCGGGAAGAAGGCGATTCAAATTGTCTCTGAGTTCAGAGGCAATTTCCCGCAGCTCCTCGGCACCCTCCCCACTCCATTCCAATGGCTTTGGGTGCTTCTTGGGAGCTCTTCTTCCAAAGCCATAGTATGAGCTAGATTCCAACTGATCCAGGATGGAACGGTTGAGCCGGTAAACACGGACAAGGAACCTATCAACGCAGGCATCTATTTTGAAGTCCTGTCATATTATATCAGCACGTTTTCAGGATGGTCCAGACGCTATCATAATTTGTATATCTCCATGGTAAAGTACAAGAGATATGGTAGAAGAAACAGAATGTGAAAAAGCAAGCCTCAAAGATGAATTTCCACATCAACCAGTCAACACACAACAGATTACTTACCTCGATGGCAGTCTTGTTAACCCAATCCTCCAGGTCTACAAGAGTGCGCTTAAAATGGGCTGGCGAGCGAGACATTTTCCGTCTTGTTGATGGCGAAGGTAGTTGTTGTAGTAGGCTTCGTGATGGGGATTGAATCAAACAGCAGCGATATTTATGGTGGAGGGATGAGAGTCCGGATGAGGTGAGGATAGGGCAAGAATGATGGCATGGCAGGTGCCGAGGGAGGCATCACCTCCAGGCAGCAGGAGCGGCAGCCTGGAGCTTCAAGGTCTGAACAAGGGTAACCTGCATAAGAACGCCGTGGCACGTTGAATAAACAACGCATGGCAACAGTTCAGAGTCTTGACTGGCAGTAGAGGCAGGATGACTCCAGGCTGGTAAATGTATGAACTGGGAAGAATCCGATGAACATTCAGCCTGGGCGCCGAGGTATTGAGTTGGTGTTGCACAGGTACGGGATAGGCTATCGATGCACAGAACTTCGTTGGATACTAAACTGCTCTAATAAATCTTTCTTCCCATTGAAGAAACATTTCCAGTTGAATGACTTAGACGCTGTTGTCTTTTGTTTGTACTTGATCGCAATACAACCTTGGTGGTGAGCGATACTAGAATAATTACTACCTAAACAGAAGCTTAGAATGGACTTTGGACACATGAGCGGTGAACCCCACTACTACTGCGATCGAATGTCTGTCCAAGCAGCCGAGTTTCACAATCGAAAGGACGGTAACTTTTGACCTACTGGCTTCTGTGGTCGTAGCTGGCAATGTCTACTGGAAAGCATGGCAAACTCGATTCTCCTGTTCCAGGTTGCGCACTGCCCCTTATCACCTGCCTCGCGTGTAACCCATCATCTTGTGCCAAAACTGGCCATATTTATATGAAGAAACCTATCGCCCTCATACAAAGAATAAATATCGATCAATCTGACCTTCTCCAGCCCTCAGTGTGGATTCCTATGTTTCAGAGGCCTCGTGAGCATTCCACATGACATCAGGATCGGCGCCAGGGGCGCCCACAAGATATAAACATCAGCGTCAGACATTCTCCCTTGACACCTTTCATATCCCGACAATGGTCGCATCAGCCGTATATACTCTTTTGGGGCTTGCCTCATTCGTCACCTCATCTCCCAGTCAACTAACCCTCACCTCCACCACACCATACCTTGACAACGCCAAGTCTGCCGTGAACACGCTACAGAAATGGTACAATCAAACGACAGGACTGTGGGATACGACTGGCTGGTGGAATAGTGCCATTTGCCTGACCGTGCTGGGCGATCTCACGGCGCTGGATCCCTCGATGCTCAACTCGAGCTCAGCAATATTCAACAATACATTCATCAAAGCCCCAAAGTCCACTCTTTCCCATAGCGTTCGCAAACCAACGTCGCAATACAAGCGTCAATCACCCCTGAGCGATACTGAATCTAGTACCGATTTTCTTAATGATTACTACGACGACGAGGGATGGTGGGCGCTGGCGTGGATCCAGGCCTACGATACAACTCAGGATCAGCGTTACCTCGACACTGCGGTGAACATCTTTGATGACATGGCAGCCGGGTGGGATACTACATGCGGGGGGATCTGGTGGGACAAGAGTCATACAGGTAACAACGCGATCGAAAACGAGCTGTTCTTGAGCGTCGCTGCTCATCTAGGGCGACGGAATACCGATAACACATCTTACTATCTCGACTGGGCAATGAAAGAATGGGATTGGTTCGAGAATAGCGGGTTGATCAATAGTCAGAATACCATTAATGACGGGCTGGATGTGCAAAGCTGTCAAAATAACAACGGCATAGTCTGGAGCTACAATCAGGGCGTGGTTTTAGGGGGACTGGTGGAGTTGTCGCAGCTGGTCTCGAATACATCGTATATAACAACAGCGCAGCGGATTGCAAAAGTAGCTATACAGACATTGAGCGATGCCAATGGGGTTCTCCAAGAATCCTGTGATCCGAACTGCACCGGGGATGCGCCACAGTTCAAAGGTATCTTGATGCGAAATCTTCAGATGTTGTACCGGGCTAGTCCTGATGACGGGGTGAAGCAATTCCTGCAGCAGAATGCCAACAGCATCTGGCAGAATGATCAGGGTAATGAGAATCAACTCGGCCCCGTCTGGTCAGGGCCTTTCACTGCGGCTGATGCATCTACGCAGAGTTCTGCCTGTGAAGCATTAGTGGCGGCGGCAGCCATTCGCTGAGCTTATACGTCACTAGAATAGTGCGTTCATAATAAGAGAGCTAGATTCACGCAATACATTCATGGGACTGTGCAGTGATTGTCCATCACAGGACTGACGGACATATCTACTATATCAAGGCTTGCCTCGCCGTCTTCTCCTCTAACCTCTACATTCTCCTGAGATGGGTGAGTTCGAACCAGTGCGGCTGGGAGCAGGGAGTCTCAAATTGGATATTTTGACACGGGTCTGCCGTTCACTTCAACCTGTGATCGCCCAATCAGGCACAGAAGATCACCAGCGCCGAGCAAAGCAGTGAATCCTCAAAATGGCCATGGATTCTGCTGCTTTTCAACTCCACGATGGAGTGTTGCTTTCATCTCACACTCTCGTATCTCACATTCTCTCATTTACCTTTCCCATACAACTCGACTGCTCATCTCGCTTTCCTGCCTGGCCAAGACGTCAGCGCAGTCCAAGAATGGAGGAGGAAACATCAGGGATGGAGCAACCAGACTATATACTCGATGAAGAAGGCGAGATACTCATCGGTTTGATGTATCCCAATCAGCCCTTCGTTTGCTTTGAGCCGGGAGTAGCGCGTGAGGCCGGCTCCCAGGTCGCGGATTCCGAGCTATTGCAACGATGGATAGCAATGGCCACAGATGCGGGAATCATGGAAGAGAAGTATAAGAAGCTCTCGATACTTCCACTTATCGTTCAATCTGATAACCAAGTCGAGGCGAGTGAGCCGGAGACTGGCATCTGGGGGATCGGCGGGCCACCTGTTGACATTCTCCCGAGCTCACTGCTTACGGAAGAGGAACGACAAGCGCGCAGACGTATCAGGGAAGACCTCGAGAGAAGGCTTCAAGCTAGAAACGATGAAAGTCAGAGTGAAACCGAGGCCGTGGTTACCTTCCAAGCATCGGCGAAGCATCTTATGGCCGCGTCGCCGTACTTTAAGGCCATTCTCTCCACCGGCATGGAAGAGAGCGTTGAATTCCAGGCGGATGGAACAGTGCTGACGACAGCAGAATGTTGGGACGAATGCGCGCTTCTTTATGTACTGAAAATCATCCACTGCAAAAGTCATGAACTTCCTGACAAAGTCGACCTAGATATGCTTGGCAAGGTCTGCGTCATCGCTGATTATTACGATGTCAGTGATGCAGTACGCTTCGCCGCACGGCCGTGGATTGCGAAGCTCAACCCTTATGGGCCCGACGATGGCTATCGCGACGCTGTAATCTGGCTCTGGATCAGCATATTTTTCCGAATGCCGGGTGTCTTCAAGGCAGCGAGCTTGACTTTGATCAAGGAAGGAAGAGCACACATGCCGCCTCTGGGTCTCCCGATTCCGGCACGTATCGTGGGTAAGTTGAATGTTTACTCAGTATAATGCGAAGTCCACTGCTGACAACTCATCAGAAGAAATCACCGCCCACCGAATCAAGGCTATCGAAGGATTGACGGGCCATGTCTATAGTGTCCAGGAAGAATACTTGACCGGGAAGAGGGGCTGCTCATTCGAATGCAGTTCCATGCTGTATGGGGCCCTTACGAAGAACCTCAACACACACAACCTGGCCAAGTCGGACTTCAAGGCACCCTTCCTGTATCACAACTACACTTCTCTTGTGAACATCATTGATCGGTTCAGGCAGCCACGATGGTACGATCCCAGAAGTTCGAAGTACCTGTGCTGGCAGTACCTCGAGCATGAATACCATGATGCCCACTTTTGGGAGCTTCGATTGGGAAGGTCCCTTGATGAGGATGGAATGGAACTGAAGGATTTTATTCAAACGGACTGACGACGGAATGCGAATCCTGACAGCTTTTTCTTTTGTACGCCGGTGATGCTTTGATAGTGGGATAGTGAGGGGGTGCATTCGACTCAGGTGATGCATTAAGAAGTAAAGCTACTAGTTGAAGACTGTATCTAGGAATGACATCTGATTTTATTGTGCTTGTTTTCTTGACTATCTCCTTCCTATATTTAGCTGCCTCAGGCAGGCAATGCTGATCATGTGCCGCGCTAGTCCCAGTCTAGAACGAGTGGTCGAAGTTATGAGTCAGCTGAAGATTCCCCAGCTGGGAAGTGATCAATGAGCCAATCAGAGGAGGTATAGTAACCGTGTGCGTACTGCCTGAGGCAGGTTTGCCTCCCGCAACAATTGAGAAAAGGAAAAGCAAGGAAAATTGAAGGTTGTTTGTCAACAAGCCACGCTATTAAGGTCAATATCACCATAAATTCTTAAGTGTCGGGCATTAATACAATCATAGTATTGATAAGGTTCTAGTGCGGATAAACCATCGACCTCGAGACAATGCCCTATCCTAGATTTCATTCCAGCTACAAAAGACTACTAAGTCTGACTGTCAGTCTGCATTTTCAAATCTGTCCAGCGCAGTCATTTAATGGTGTCATGCATAGGGCATATTGCGCATACTGCAGCGTTCATGGCTGGCTGTAACTCGTCTGTGTTGTCTGCAGCATTTGATGGCTTCGCACTGCTTGCGTTCCAGGCTTTGGCATGGAAGATCCGCAGTATCCACTGAGGTTTGCGGTTCCATGCTACTGCCGTCGTCATTGGTTCCTTCACGATGATGGCAAACCGATTGACCATTCAGACGTGATCCGAGTGGACCCGAATCGGGCAATGGAGATAAGAGCGCGCTGACGAACTGCAAAAAAAATTTGGGAAGAGGGACAGGAAGAAAAACTGGGGAAAATGGCGTGCCGAAATAGCCAGCTCGTCTGCATAACAACCAACCCAAGTCTCCGAGTCCCAGTGACCCTAAGCAGCACCCCATCATGAGTTTATCAACAACAACAGTCGAAAAACGGCTCCTCGCAACCGCAGAGCACCTCAATGCCCCTACTAAATACCAACCAACGTCGGTTCCGTGGGTACATCCCCATTTAGAGCAGGGCGTGGTGCCGATTAAAGGCCGCCAGGTGCGTGCCTCGCAACCCATCCGCCAGGGTGAGGTCCTGATGATTGACGTGCCCTATGCGCTCATTCCCGTCGTCGATGATCCGGCCAGTAGCGATAGTCTTCTGTGCAGCAACCCAACCTGTAGTCGCCAGACACAACGCAGTTCGGGACGAATTTCGTGTCCCAATCGCTGTATCGCAGATCTAGTCTGGTGCGGTCCGACCTGCCAGGAACTAGATCAATTGCGCCATGAATTCGAGTGCACCTGGCTGCAGAGATACGCCGCTCCCATCCGCGCAAAATGGGGAGAATATGACTTTGGGATGATGTGGCTGATCGTCCGCATCCTCGCTTCTCGACATATGGAGCTACAACAGCCATCTGATACAGAAAATGGAACGAATCAGCGATTCAAGGGTGGCTGGGATGCCATCCAGTCCTTTTGTGGCTCGATAGACAGCTGGGCCCATTCCCAGGTACGGTCATGGACGGCGTTGGTCAAGAAGTACCTTCGCAGTAGTCCGGTTCTGCCACACAACTTGAGTGCCGACGACATTGTGGCTCTGATCTGCCGGGAGGAAGCCAACTCCTTTGGCTTGTATCCACGCGAGACGGGTGTATATCCTGTCCCAGAACCCCCTGTGGACCGGGGAGAGCAGTTTGCTGCGGCCGTGTATCCCCGAGCAGCGATTGCCAACCATTCATGCAGTCCTAATGTAAGCGCTTCTGAGTACCTCCTTGACCGTTAGCTAACATGACCGACCAAGATCATGCATAAACCAGACCACCACGGACGGATGGTATTCACTGCGTCAAGGGACATTGCCGCCGGCGAAGAGTGTTGCATATCCTATTTTGACCTGAGCAAACGTGTTGATCTTAAGTCTCGTCGTGATCACCTCCAGAGTCTGTTCAGATTCGTCTGCGGATGTGACCGATGTACAGCTGAGGAGCCATCGGAAAAAGAGTCCGACTGGGTTGGACTGCCTTTCTTGGAATAGCGAATAGTGGCTAGTGTTTTCGGGATTTTCTTGGCTCGGTTTCTTTCATTGCAGGTACAGCGCCGACGCATCACCAGCTGGTCCTGGTATGAAGTTATATAAATGATTGATAGAAGAGATGATAGTTATGTTTGGTTAGAGTTAAGACACCCACGTGTTCCGTGACCTCATAAATTATGCCAATTCTCCGTGTCCGACTCAGTAGTTCACACGACATATGCTGTTTCAGCCTTAATCGGGTCATTAACAGCTAAAATAAACCCCTTCCTCGTATTATCCTAGAACCCTACAAGACATTGTTCTCGTGATAAAAGAAACGTCAATGTGTTTCTCCTTCAAGCATTTTTCGGTCAAGAACAGGCTACACGATCGCCAGCTGCCCAACATCTCGATCCGATGATAACCCAGGATGATTGCACAGAGCTATCTGCATCTCAAGTGGATGCCCTCCTCTCATAGGCCGAACCCCGCCCGAAACGCCCTAACGCCGTGCTCCTAATGCAAGTACGTGGGGGGCAATCTCAAAACTTGAAAAGCGATATGATCGTGTGCTGGCGCTTAAATAAAAGGTAATGCTCGTGATTAGGAATGGGAGCATGTGCAGCTGTCAAACATGGATACCAAGTACCGCCAACCTGACCCTGGCGTGGCCGAGGCCAGCGACTATGCTTCAGAGCCTTCGGAAATCCCGAATATCACGGCCGGATCGCAGCACCTGCATCGCAAGCTGGGCGGAAAAGAGGTTCAGCTCTTCGCGGTCGGGGGAGCCATAGGAACATGTACGTATCGGCATGCCGGTAGATTCGAGGGCACAATTTGCTAGACCGCCGATTAACTGTCTGCAGCACTTTTCGTCCAGGCCGGTGCTATGTTGCCTAAGGCGGGTCCTGCAGGTCTTCTAATTGGGTTTCTTGCGTACACGCCTATCATACTCGCTGTCAATCAATGCTTTGGTGAGTCTGTCTTCTCCGAACCTTCGTTCCTGTGTTCGGCAGAGCTGAGCTGACCCTTGCAGCGGAGATGGTCTGCTACCTGCCCATACCCTCTCCGTTTATTCGCCTTGCCGGTCACTGGGTAGATGATGCCCTTAGCTTTGCCATGGGCTGGAATTTCTTCTTCACCATGGGTTAGTCGTAAATCCTTTAAGCAGGTTCTGGAAGGTTAACCCCAACAACAGCACTGGGAATTCCGTACGAGATCGTCGCTATCAACATCCTCCTCACCTACTGGACGGATCGTGTGCCTGTAGCGGCTGTCGTGGTGATTATGCTGGTGCTTTACACGTGGGCATCTCTGATCCCTGGGCTATTATATCTTCGACATGACTGATTCAATCTCAGGCTATTGAACGTATTCACTGTTCGCTTCTTCGGAGTGTCAGAGTTCTATCTGTCATTTTTCAAGATATTCCTCATGGTTGGACTTCTCCTGTACACCTTTATTACCATGGTCGGAGGCAATCCCCGGCACGATGTGTACGGCTTCCGATACTGGCGTGACCCGGTGACTACATTCTCTTACCGTTAGACATATTCCAGACTGATGACATGCCATGCAGGGGGCTTTTGTGTCCTACATTGAACCCGGCAGTGTCGGGCGCTTCTGCGGCGTTTTAGCATGCATGATCCAGGCCTCATTCACGTACGACCAACCCATCCACCTTACCCCATCTACTTCCGGAAACTTACCACTGCAACAGAATGGTCGGCCCTGAGTACATATCCATGGCCGCCGCAGAAGCCGCCCGACCACGGCGAGTAATGCGCAAGGCCTACGCGGCGTACCCCTGGCGACTGGTTACATTTTTCATCCTGGGTGTTCTATCAATGGGCATACTCATACCTTACAATGATCCTACACTGGCTGCCACCTTGGAAGGATCGGGGCACGAAAGTGGCACGGGAGCTGCGTGAGTCCGACCCTACCCAAACATCCATCCAGCCTCTGCCCTCTAACATCCATATCTTCTCCAGCTCTCCCTACGTAATCTCCATGAACCACTTCAACATCCAGGTCCTCCCAGACATCGTCAACGCCCTAATCATGACCTCCGTCTTCTCCGCCGGCAACAACCTGGTCTTCTCCGCCGCGCGGACCCTCCACGGCATGGCCCTCGAAGGCCGCGCCCCATCCCTCTTCGCACGGTGCAACTGCAATGGTCTCCCCTACTACGCCGTCGGCGCCTCGCTAGCATTCTGCCTGCTGGGCTTCCTCCAAGTAAGCAACAGCTCCGCGACCGTACTAAATTGGCTCGTGGGAATAATCGTCGCCTCGTACCTGTTAAACTACGTCGGCACATGCATCACATACCTGCACTTCTACGCGGCGATGCGCCAACAGGGTATATCCCGGGATACACTCCCATACAAGGGAGTTCTGCAACCGTATGCCGGTTGGTTCGCGTTAGTGGGTACGATAGTCATAACGATGATTATTGGGTTCGAGATATTTCTGGATGGACAGTGGGATGTGCAAACGTTCTTTTTGGATTATACCATGGTTCGGTTTGTTGTGGTCGCTTTTGGGTTTTGGAAGGTGGTGAAGAAGACGAGGTATGTCTGGCCTGGAACGGCGAATTTGAGACTGAGTGGGTTGAAGAAGGAGATTGATGAGTATGAGGCTGGGGTGATGGTTCCTGTTAGGAGGGGGGTTGCAAGGGCTTGGTATGGGTTGTTTGAGTAGATTGGTCTAATTTGGGGGGTAGATGGGATGGGTATGCTTCGTTACATGGGAACGAGGGTGCTTCGCATAAGGTGCAGTGGAAAAGCCATCCTAGTCATCGCTATAGATTATATACTATAGGTTCTGCTCCGTAGCTAGTCAGTGTATGGTAGATCGAACGATGGCCCCGTGTTCTGCCTGGTTGTGTGCACTCTCTCAAGCCGCGACATTTCCTCCCTGATGCGCTCTCCAAATCCTTCTGGCTGCGTCTCTGATGGTTCCCCTTCTTCTGCCTCTGCCACCCCGGCCGATCCTTCCTCTCCATTAGTAGCGGGGGTTTCCTTCTCTGCCTCGCCCTCTGCCTCAACAGCCAAGCGCTCCTGCGATTCCTTCTTCGCCTCCTCCGCCAACACCGCATAATGCGCCCGACGGTACACCCCAAGGCTACTCAGCACCATCCCGACAATCTCATACGCGAATAAAACCGGCAACGCATAATCCAGTTGGGGATTGCAACCACCGGACCAGATATCCACCATCACCTGGAAGATAGAATGCGCGGGAAGCGCATATCCCCATTTGTAGAACCCCGGGGACAGCTCAAACGGCAACAGGATTGACGAGACATTCAATACAACCCATGAGATAAGGGCCATGGGAACGAATGGCGGTGCTAGCCAAATAGTAAATACATCCAAGACGAGGAAGTTCAGATGCGCGAACAACCACAGCGCCATCCAGGTAATCATGAATTGGGCGCCGTTAACGTGCCAGCCATGTCGGAAGGCCCAAATGGCGCCGGTCGTGCAGAGCGAGCCGATGAAGGTGTATGTGGCTGAGATGAGCTGGCGGATGATGGCGATGCGGTGCGCGTCAACTGAAGTATACAGGTGGAATTGCTGGTAGAGGCCATTGAGGTAGCCAAGGTAGAAGAACTCTTGGATGAGGATAAGAATGACGACTAGAGTGTTGTATATGAGGCGGGAGCCTTGGGTGGTGGGTTGGATGTTGATAGTGGAGAGCGTCCAGGGGTCGGCGAGGGTGGCGATGGCTGTCTGGTCAGAGGTGTTCATAGTTTGAAGGATGGCAGGGCCGTTGGTAGTGGTGTAGATGATGCGAGTAGCTTCAGATAACGACAGGATGTTGGACTCGATAGCAGAATCTACGACGGTGGAGTAGCGCGCCTCATTCCAGACTAGGGTCATGACATCACTTGTATTGTAGGCTGCTGTCCCGATGCCGGTGAGAGCAGCTGATAGGCGCGAAGAAGCATTCTCGACGATGTACAGACCTCCCCAGTAGTGAATATTGCAGACGGTGGAGATGATCGACGCAGGATTGGGATAAGCCTGGGCTGACTGTTCGCGGAGGGTCGGGAAGGCGGACCCTTGCAGCTGTTGGTAGGCAGTGCGAACGGCCTGACCGATGGCCCCGCCATCGTAGTCAACGAAGACGACATTGAGATTATGTATATGAGTGGTCTGTTGAAAGATGGACCCGAACAGATAGCAGAACAGACCAAGGAAGAGGAGTTGTAAGATGAGCAGGTTGATGGTGGCAGCTTTAAGGACGGCTAGACGCAGCGGGCGCACCTCCGGGTCGTGGATGCTGCGGTGAGGGCGTTGACGGGCAGCGGCATACAAGGCCATGGGTGTATCCTAGGGGCAGTCCAATTTTCTTCTGTTGAGATATAATCTCCAGAGGTTGTGAAGATACGGCAATCTCCCGGTGGTAGTGAGTTGAGGGTTGGGCCGGAATCGCGGGGAAAGTCAGTCGGAGGGAGATTCCACGGTTGAGCGATGGATACGAGATCCGGTCGTTGAACCTTGGTTAACCTCGAAAGAAGTCCCTCTGTGCCCTCTATAGCAGTGCATATGTGTAAAAGTGCTGTCTTAACAGTGCTTCTCATCGATACTATATACAACTTCCGAGGCCCACTACCAAATTGAGCGGAAGTACCCCAGGGCTTCCGGTTGAGAACCAATGCCCTGTCGGTAGCACGGAATATGCGGGTCAGCCCAAATCACCCATCTAGTACTACTGAACAAAGCAATATTGTAGGATAAACAGTAGTGGACAGCCGAATTGAAGGGCAGTACCATGCAAATTCCCAATATGCTTGCCATTCGGCAGTGATAATATCCCCAGCACTTGGACCTTCGCGTCTCTTCCATAAGATCCCAGTCGATGACGCGTAGGAACGACCTACAAAGAGGAACAAGGACACCTAATTGATAAGGGGCAGATCCCGAAAAGCTCTTCGTTCGCTTGTATCTCAATCGAATCATCGGAAGCTGTATTACGTGGTAGTAGTAGTAGTAGTAGTATTGTGTGTCAACTACACAATATATAAATATTATTACAGCTCCCACTAGTGCGTCAGCATCATGGCACTGGGTGACAACAGTTCCCATCAGCCATCTTCAAGATTGCCCGTCGATAGCAAACATTTCCGCCCACGAACAGCTGCATAGTCATGTCGCAAGGAGTCCATCTTTCACAGAGTGCTTGTGCTCTATGCGGGGACTGGCCAACAGGTGGTGAACGGATAATAAGTGAGCCTTTGGCCCCTCAAACCTCGCGCAGTATCATCTAATCCAATCGCAGACCTTGACAGGGACCAAGTATCTTTCCAGACTGTACGTGAGTGCGGGATTGAATGCAGAGAGTGTTATGGCAACCCAATTCCAGAACTATGGATTCATACCCGGTGTTATCAGCTTTTGGTGGCCAGCTTCGGCCCATCTGACAGACCCTCCATGAAGGATATAAAGGATTACGCTACTGACACGGAAGTACTTTATGGCAAGAGTTATCCACGTAGACATCCCGGAACAATTCTGGAGGGTCTCTCGTCTAAGCATACCTCATGCATTATCGCAGAGTCCTTCAAGCAAAGCTTTTTTGATAAATTGCCCCCGGAGTTGCGACGCAGGATCGCAGGGTTCGTTGGACCATGCTGGTACTTGGCTGTCCTAGGCGAGGCCCACCGGCTCATTGACTGTGTTCGACAAAGCGAGAAGGATTTGGATGAAGAGCTTGACCTCGACGAAGACTTGTGGATATCGCGGATTGTTTGCCAAGATCATTGGTACCTATCACAGATCAGCAATATGCCAATTGAGGCGACTGAAGGAATGGAAATTTTCCACATACAGCCACCCCAGACCATTCACAAGATCATCGCTTCAACGGACCAACTGGGTGTGCGTTGGATCCAGTTTCTCGACCGTGAAACTACTCCGACACAAGATCAGTCACCATGGTACGAGATATACGACGTAAAGGATTTCGAACCAAGGCTGTGGGTTGTCCGTGGAGTAAGCAACTCTATCCTCGGTATCTGGGCATCAGCTGACGTACTTAGCGTCTTATAATAAAGAGAATTGAAATCGACAATGACGAAGCAACACGTCTCTTGCCGTCGACGTGGACCTCCCCGAATCCGCCCATTTTCCACCCATTAAAAGGTATCTGCCAAGGCGACTTACAGGAGGCTCAACTTCACCATATGAAACTTGGACCCCAGGTAGAAGGCATTCTTGTCGTCCGCACAGGCGCCTATGGCATATTCGGGATCCACAACTTCTCGGGCCGGAACAAAGCGTTCTGGGAGTTTCTCGAACAGGTGCATGCCCGTAGAGGGCCACAGACGAACCCATCTTTATACTGGTTCTATTTCCCGTTGAATGACCAAGAGGATATCTTAAAGGTTTGGGATCGGCGGTTGGGCCATTCCGACGGACGAACAAACTTCGATGGTTTAATTGTTAGTGCTTCCATCTCATATCTGATCTCACGAACTGACCGGCTAGGTACAAACATCCTTCGGGAGGGATATGACATTCGGAGCGGTATATCCACCCACCTTTACTAGAGATAGTAGATACCGCCCTATGGTTCGGGACACTGATGGTCCAGTTTCCGGAATAATTCACGATGGCATGGATTTGAGGTTCCAAAGAATGACGGTGTTTGGGGTTACCTGCCATAGCCCGCATGATGGCGAGACTCGAGCCCCGGTCCCAGTACGTTACGCCATTGGGCCTCCAAGGGCCCATCCCCGCGACGACCTCGTACCATGGTATATGACCAAGGCCACATTAAGGGGCGTGACTAAGGTACAAGTGTGCAGGGACCGGACGCAGTCGCATCATCCTTGTCTGGGTATCTTGATGTTCTATGCCGATGGTCACATCGAGTCCAATGGACAGATTCGCTGGGATTATGGACTGGACGAAGAGATATGCGGTCCTTTCGTTGTCGCCTCAGGGGCGGTTAATGAAAAGGACACTATCAAGGACATCCGAAATGCAGAGGACCCAGTAGTGGCCACTGTGCATCGAGGTGAATGGAAACCTCTGCCTAGTCAAGGGATACTCGCATGGTGGTTTAGCGAGTTGGGCGATAGACTTGTCGTTTACTATGAGTAGTTGGTACTACATGGTTTGTTAAAGCTCCCAGAAATCCAACCCAAGTTCACGTATACTCCAGCGCTAGGGATTTAACACAACGCTTCGATTGAAGCGACGGCGCCTGTAGACCTGACGAGAATAATCGGCAGAATGACCATGCCATGTGAAATTGTGGCTTTATAGACTACGCTTCTTTTCAGTTACTTGATGCATCCGAAAGCATCGAATAAGACAAATGTGCGTAGCAATATATAGACTTCGACTTCGTCTTTGGCGGAATACAATCAATATCAACATGAGACCGAGGCTTCTACAATATCGGGTAATTGTCAGATCAGTGTCACAGGAATCTTGACATACGTTGCGCAGACACATGATCAGACGCTTTTTGCTGCGTAATAGTGCCTACAGAACTCCATCTACGGGGCACATGTGAGAGATGACTGTTGGCTTACGGAAAGAATAAAATGACCAAAATGGGATGAACAAAACTGCATCGCAACCACAGATTCTCATTCAAAAGTCCTGATGGTGGATACAGGAGTTACCTTCTGCTAACAATTTATCATGATCATAGGCTCCGCATTCATTCTCCATTGATCCGGAAAGCCTCAGGCGAGTGGATATCAACGTAACCTCGAGAATCAGACCCATCCACCGAGCCAAACAGCGGCTCCAGCCATTCATCCTCCTTTGAGCAAGACCATACTCTACACTTAGTACCAAATGCCGTGAACGCGTACACCTTTGACAAATTATGGTGACTTAGAAGATAGGCCATACAGACTGTGAATGCATGTCTCATAAGCCCATCAAGATCCTGAAGACTGGGATCCATCGCCACAGGTTCATAAATGCAAAATGTCATCATATCGACGTCAACATCGACATCGACAATCGACATCGAAATTGGCATCACGTATATTATAAAGCTCTATAGTAATATCCAGTCGTTGACGGGGACAATCATCTGGCGTGGGCCTATAGAATACAACCCAGTCTTTTCCGGAGAAGAGATGTTTCATGAACAGATGGCTCCACAGCCTGACCACAGCTCCTTCATTACCAGGTGTCTGGGAGTCCTCCCAAAGCCTCGTGAGACAGATATCACCGGTAATGAGCGACATTGTCTGTCGATGGTTAGCTGGACGTAGCCTGGTTTGGGAATGAGTACACCAACTTGGAAAATGGAGGTAGTGTTTTTGTAGCGCCAAAGTCCGGCGTATTTGTGAGGTGCGTATAGTAGGATTGGATATTTCTAGAGACGAGAATTAGATCGTGCCATCTGAGAACTGCGGATGTATGTTGGTGAACTTAGACAGTTGGCAAGGTAATTTGGAGGCATCTATCACTCCAGCTGTGCCTTGGAGCCTAGTACTGGCCGACTAGGCTGTAGCCTAGAAATAGTGAGATTCTGTGATGGTGGGTGGAGTTGAGATTTTTATTCGCTCTTCAAGCATTGCTTGCAGATGGCGCTAAGTTGGCGCTTGTTTGGGTTTTCACAACTCGCCTGGGTGTTGCGAAATCCCCATCTTAGAGACTGACATACGGAGTAGATGGGCACCGTCCATGAAGTTACTCATATGCCTAACCCCAGCTGTCTGTCTCTATGGTTTGAATTCTTCCATACGATCAGGTGCGGTTTCTATGCAGGAAGAGGCTTGAATTCTCGGCCATTCCCGCCACCCCTTTCACCGACGGCAGCACCCTGTTCTTTTATGGCTGGACATGGGGTAGGCGCAGTCTCAGTATAAATTCGTCTATCAAAATATCCCTAAAACATGTCTATCCTGTAGGAGAACAGTTATTTTTTTCTCATCAGCCCTCGGGACTCCCCATCATCAATTTCCCCAAATATCACCTCGCTAACTGTTCAAGATGCCTTCCCCAGATGCCTGCATGACCTGCGGCTCGGAACCACATTCTCAAACTGATTACATCTACAAAAGCCAAGTCAAATTGTTTTACCGGTCGACCGACCTAGGTGTCTGGTCGATTGGATCCAAGCTGGTCCTCAAAGATCGGGGACGCCATATCCCAAGCGACGAGGCGTCCAATATCCGATTTGTCGAGAAATAGACATCGATCCCAGCCCCAAAGATTCTCAAGGATTGGAAAGGAGGCGATCATAGCCTGATGTTGATGGAATGTGTTCTTGGCGAGCCACTAAGCACTGCCTGGCGGAAACTCTCTGCGGAGGAGAGAGAAAACATCGCAAAACAAACAGCGGATTATCTGCTCCAACTTCGCGAACTTCAGTCCGATTGTGGGCGATCCCTCGAGCGCAGACCAATATTACCCACCGCTAGCTTTTGAGATCTTCAAAAGATTTGTCCCCGCGGCCCATTCGCTTCAGATGAAGAGCTTTGGAAAGAAATGGAGGGTGCATTGCATGACTCTGTTCCCGAGGCCGTGCGGAGACTACTCCGACGCCGGATGCCGCCGGTTACGCCGTATACCTTTACCCATGGGGACCTTAGCTACGGCGATATCGTGGTAAAGGATGGCCCTGTTACTGGAATCATTGATTGGGAGACGGCCGCGTACATGCCTGTATGGTGTGAGTCTCTGTGTCTCATTTTCATATTGTGAGGAAGATGAAGTGTGGAGGATATTGTTGCGCAACTGCATGCCTGATTATGATGTTGCGTACAACCTATGGCACCATTATCAGTATCTTTGTCTCGATTCAATCCTAGGGGGAAGGCATCCCATCGATGAAGCCTCACGTTAGGCTTGTATGAATGAATTATAAATATTATTCACGGAATGATGGATGAGGTATCTGCAAATGCGGCCCTCGCATATCAATACTAAGATGTCATACAACAGAAAATTCAGTTTTGGTAAATAATCACGTCGAATAACAGCTACAACTAGTCAGTAACCAACATTTCAAGGGCGACTTTATATGCTACCCGACCAGCGCATAGAACGTATCAGACACACACTAATCCTATTGTGGTCTAGTAGTCATGCAGGGATGATGCCTTGGCTCATCTCACACATCCATTGTTTGCCTTGATACCACGACAACCGCAGAGAATACCATGTTCTCCATATTGAGAGGGATCAGAAGGATACGACAGTCTCAGCCAACAGCCCCGCTATCCATCCGTTGTCGTGGTAATTGCCCGTCAAACAACAAAGCGGCCATAACTAAGTTACTGATATCCAAGTAGGAAAGCCAATCAGCCGGGGTGAACTTTTTGCATATACAAACGGCCATTTCCTGGTCAATGAAGAGCATCAGCTGGCTCGACACTACGTAAAATTCGATGTCGATGCTCTCTGCAGTGTAGCTGCGGCTCTGGGTGACGTTCCATCTCCCGTGGCAAGCGTGAAGAAAATGGAGGGTGGATTTAGCAAGGCTCTGTTGATGAAGAAGGAGAACGGTTCCGAGGTCGTTGCCAAAATACCTTGTCGGATTGCTGGACCTGTAGGGCTGATAACTGCATCCGAGGTGGGTGTCCTTAAATACTGTACGTCGTCCTTCGCTCTCTCCTTTTCCAACGCGTGTGATCACTGATGTGACTGTGTAGTACGCAGAAATACCACAATCCCAGTTCCCCGGGTTCTTCCGTGGTCTTCAGACAGGGACAATCCCGTAGGCGCCGAGTATATCGTGATGGAAAAAGGCTAGTGGTGTCCCCTTGGTTCGTGTATGGGGTGACATGACAGAATCTGAGAAATTGCAGCTTATTCAAAACTTGACCAAGCTCGAGGCACAGTTATCAGTCATCCGGTTTCCTGCCTACGGTGGTTTTTATTCGCGCGACCATCTACAGTACGCAGATGATCAATTTCTACTGCCAGATGACCATGTTGATCCATCGCAATCATTTGGTATCGGCCCTTCTCCTGATCGTCAATTCGACGTCCCTTCGGACCATTCTAAAGATCAAGGCCCTTGTCCGTCTCTGCACCTCCAACGTTACTCAAAATCACCATTCATAGGGACCACATTAGCGGAACTGGGTATATCTATCGCAAAGCGCGATCTCAACGATACCAAACAAATCGGCCATGTTCTACCAAGGCACCATGGATGAACAAGCTCGGCTCCTCGAGTTCACAATCCGCCTAATGCCCATGCTAGACACTCATCCCTTACTGGGCCAATCTGCACAGCCTACACTCTGGCACACCGATCTACACATGGGTAACATCTACGTGGCGCCCGACGACCGCACACAAATAGTCTCAGTCATTGATCTCCAGTCCATGTCAGTTATGCCCTTATTCCCTTGAAGACCAGAGTACATTCATTACCCGGATACATAGAGAGTAATAACACAAATTTACTCCACTTTCGCGTTTCGCGTCTCACCCAAAATAACAATAATAACAGCCCATCACAGCAAGCAAGGAACAATCCCTTCCCAATATAGTTAGTCTTAACCCCCTTACTCATCTTCATGACATAATCCACCTTCGATACCAGACTAACCTAATATAGTAACTCTATTATGCAATATGATCCAGTAGTGACCCTCTTAACTCTTGACTTGAATTCCCCAGACTGAGGCGCTCGTCCCCACAGTCCAACGTCACCGTCCTCCACGATGGGTCCTGACATGGCACAACTTGGCATAATATTATTCTCCTGATATTAATATCTAGGTGGGAAGTTGGATAGATTCCACGTGTGTGACGTTGACGTATTCTTCTTCTTCCGGTGGTTGCCGGCTGCATGAGCGGCCTAGTCTGCGACCGGGGCTATATTCGCCATAAACACTGTTGTCGTTTTTAGCGATAGAGATACCGGATTATAGGGTTGTAGTTGAGATTGTGTCTGTGGATTCAACATAATTATGCTGCGAGACTCTGAGTTAATGAAGTTGTGGATGTTTGCAGACAGGGTGCATGGTGATGCATGAAAATATATATTGTGGGGCGAGTAGTAGCAGTAGCAGTAGTAGTGTGAGGTTGAACGTCGACGTCAAGGCCCAGTGGAGTTAGCATCAGGTCTACAACTATTAGTAAGACTGAATGGGATGTGATGAAAGATGTGTGGTAGTAATATCTAATTGCTATCATAACGTCATACGGATGCATTTATATACAGACAGGCACTTTTCGGTAGGACTAGACTAGTGCGGACTATCCTCATCCGAGTCAAAGTGCTCGCGCGCCCAAGGACTGCGCAACCGAATAGCACGACCCTTGTAAAAGAAGATAAAGGGAATCGGCACAAGCAGGATGGCGATAAAGCCCAGCAGACTGGACGCCCACTCGTAGTCGAGCTTCTCGTACATCTGCGTAGCGAACAGCGGGAAGCCAGCACCGACGAGGTTGCGGACGAGGATGACACCGGCCAACGCGGAGGCAGAGTAAGTCTGGTAGCTGTCGACGACATAGTTGAGGATACTAAGAATGACGATGTAAAGACCCGCACCGAAGAAAGAAGACGCAATGATGGGGACGATCCAGTGCACGGAGCGGTAGCTGGTCCAGCCGAACCAGAACAGACTGATCGGGATGAGCAACGAGCCGACTCGAGCCATCCACATGCGCGCTTCCGGGACACTGCGGCCGCTGTTCTCGGCCACGCGGCGCAGGTAGTACCGCTCTTGCAGCGGGGAAAGGGCGCAGGCGATGATAGGGCCAATGGCCATACCCAGGAAGCAGAGACCCTGTTGACCGACGTTGAAGCCGTGGCCGTTGGGTTCGCCAAAGACGAGAGGGAAGGCTTCGTTGAACAGGTAGACCAGCCCGTAGAGGAAGCCGTTGTAGATGGCGGAAAAGGTGGTGATGGGCTCGGTGAACAGAAAGCGGAAGGGACGGGTGAGGGTGATCGCAAACAGCTGGTGCAGGCCCTTGCGGTCTTCTGCGTGGAGGTCGGTGGTGGTCTCTGCGGAGCGCAATCCCTCGCGTTGCATCTGCTTGCGCACGCGGGCGGCCTTGCGCTGCAGGATGATGCTGTGGCGCGTTTCCGGGACAGTCAGGACCAGCACAATCCAGGTGCCACCAGTGATGGCCATCATGATCCAGAAAATCCAGTGCCAGTTCAGGTTCAGGCCGATGTAGCCGCTAACCACCAGGGCCATGGGCGGGCCAAATGTGCTACTGAGACCGTAGAATGCCATAGGGCCACCACTGTGGTTACGCTCCCACAGATCACTGATGGTACCACCCGTGTTGGTCAAGGGGGCACCACCGGCGAAACCGGCGATGAAACGGCAGACAATGATGGTGCCAATATTAGGAGCCAGTGCGAGAGGCATCTGGAAGAGGGACATGATGAACCACGAGACGATGTAGACGGGCTGGCGACCAAAGTACTCGGACAGAGGAGCCAGCAAGACAGGCCCAATGGCATATCCCAGCACATACATGGACAGACATAATGTAGTGACTTCAGTAGACACGTGGAAATGTTCCGCGATGCCGGTGGCTCCGGAGGAGAAGGAACCGCAAGACCAAGTGCTGGATTTAGGTTAGTAGGGTTGAGATACAGGAGGTTGGCAGTAGACATACGTGATAACGTTCAGAAAACTGGCAAACAAGGTAATGTACCACTTGCGCCAGTAACCCCAGCAGCGCGGGTTGTCCCGATCTTGCGGGCCAAAGGTGATACGCAAGGGGAGGGCTTCATCAGGCTGGTTCCTGGCGCGAGCCAGAGCTTCCTCCTCGGTGACGACCAGCGGAAGAGTCTCACGGTGTACATCCGAGATCTCTTGCTTCTGGTCGGCAGTGGCGAACAGGTCGCCGACGTGGGATTCCTCGGTCATGGTCGCGACGCCAGGCACAGGGGGAGATGTCAGGTCAACAGGATACAGAACAAGAAAGTTAGATCAGATCATCAGGGGACGAAAGACTTTTAATACGGAAAAGAAATATCTGCGGCGCGAGGGGCAAAAGGGCATCAGCAGCCCGCCGCGTGACGTTCCCCGATTGCAGTCTTGCCATGACCCAACTCCACTGGCCGGTGAGGGTTGCAGATGGTCTACCAATGAGATGGAGGGCACATAAGCTTCGACTCCAGATTTCTCCAGTTGCAGCCGTGTTCTCCATCTCTTCGGGGTATGACCGAGCTGGTTACAGGGTAATCCGGTGTCGGGAGGCAAGCTTTGAGGGTCAGGTTCAAGCCTCGGTCAAGCTTTAGGGCGCCGTGGCATCCGGGCGAGGATTCCAGAAAAGAGGGCCGATAAAGGCGGGATGTTGGCCGCCTTACCCAAAAGGCGCTTAGTGTCGCTGCACTCCAGGGGATCGTCTCCTCCTTATTCCTCCATCCTTTCGTCTCCCCGTGGAGTTGCCCTTGTTTCTCTGACTCACCGAATCCGCACGGTCGTGGGCCGCCCGGCCGATACACAGTTCCCCAGGCAGGATTGCCGACCCCCCGCCGGCTGTTCCATTTGCCGTGGATGCTGTCCAGCAAAACTGTTTCCCTGCCCTTGTTGGGCCGAGATGCTTCCGGTGAGCTGATTCTGGTCTAACAACAAACTAGAATCAGCCACACCGCGTTGGATTTTTTTTTCCCCTGCTAGCGAGATAGATTAGCTGCTGCCATTTGCACCCAATAAATACTCTTCCGTGGTAAGCACCATATCTTCCTATCGTGTACCACAAGGAAAGAAGGCAGAACTCAGCTGCCTTAGGAAGAACAAGCAACCTATTTCACCGTCAGTGTTAATATTAATAATTGGGAACCTTTGTGATTCCCTCCACCGGCTTTTAGGCTAAATGCCATCAGCCCCAAAACCCAACCCCAACTTGCGACGCCAGACAGACAAGACACTAAAATCCCCGGGCTGTTTTTTTTGGAGGCTTATTCCCCACTTGCCATTGGTAAGCACTAGATACGGCTCCCTCGAGTCGGTTTAGGTCCCACGGAGAGCCAAAAAGCTGAGCTTCCCGGTGAGGGAGTCGGTCGGTATGTCGCTCCCACCACGGTCGGCTTGCTTACGGGCGTCGCTCTCATGCCGGCTGTCGGCATCCTTTCCCCGTGAGAACTGTCCCTCACCTAATACTATATCAACCAAGTACGGAGAACGGTGTACACAGTAGACGGTAGACAATAGACAGTAGACAGCACGGGTATAGCTGGGTGTCTGGATACGCGTGGACCTTCTGCCGCACCTGGTGTGGCCTGGCCTCTTCGTGGATAACGTGCTGGTGTGACAACCAATCAGTCGACCTTGTCTGCTTCATCGATCATCCAGCCTCGAAGCCTGATTTGTTGTGCGGTCGCTGGCGCTGCTCAGCTCTTTTTTTTTTTTTTCGGTCACAGCTGGTCTGCCCACATTAGCATCCACTTGGCTAGCAGTTGACCAGGCCTCGTCTGTGCCGCTCATCACTCGCACGGAATCAATTCTCCGCTGTCTACGGAGTACATGCTGGTCTCTGGGCTGCTCAAGCCATGCAGCGCGACAAGAACCTCCTCTCTCCCCGGTCGTTGTGGACGCATGGATCGTTGGCCCATCTTGGCATCTGGTGGTCTCCAGACGCCGACTCAACTGGCTCTGTTCTGGTTGGCCCGGACATTGTTGTCTCGCAGAGAAGTTCGAGGTGAGCTTTTCTCGGGTTGCCTCCCTCATGGGGGGGCTGTATTTCGGACATGAGCCGGCCCAGGGACTCCACCAGGCTAGTTGTCGCACTTTTGGAAATTTAGGTGCACAAGGAGTTGGAGACGCCCGGTATCCTTTCCATATATTGCCGTTGCTATTTGCATTCTTCGCGCGAGGTATGAAAGACCTCACGCCGATGTTGTCTGTTCTATGCTGACATGGACGTGATGGGCAGTAACTTGATTGGCCAGAGCGAACGCACGGTCTCTGCCATTACGAATGATAGCCATGCATTGTCTGTGTCGTGTGCTGTCAGTGCTCGTGTGTGGTCCCCGCGCATTAGTGAACCTTGAGCCGTAGCGATCATCGGTCGGAGAAATTCGCCTTTGACGAGGATTCACTGGTTTGTCCCACTAGTGTGTATCATAACCTGCCAAAAGCCCGGTGTGGTGTGACACTGGGGAAAGAATCGTGAGTGCTGCCCCAGCCGGGATGTTGTCTTTCCAAGACAGTATATCAACGTTGAACTTACAATCCCCGACCACCAACCTGACTGTTACATTTGTACATTGGAAGACGGGAGTTCATGAAAAGATCCTACTGACATCAGCATGGCTCGAAGCTTCATCCGCGATGGTGAAACTGTTGCAACCAGAGGGGCATCACTCTTTCGATGAGACATAATGCCCGAACAATGGATTCCATCATGCGACGGAGTTAGTCTACGGATGAACTTAACCCCTGTTGTACAGCATCCCTGGCGAAAGTCATACAGAATAGACCGCCTGTTTCCAGGTTGAAGTCTCAACTTCACGGTCAACTTGTATATATATATATATATAGCGTCAGACCTGCTTGATTTCAGCAATAACAAGAGATACAAGACAGCAGAAAGGACACCAACCACTAAACCAGCTACCAAAATGCGCTTCGCACTTACGGGGACCGCCATTCTGGCCTATATCTCGCTTGCCACCTCGCATGTCATCAAGCGGGACATTTCAAATGTCCTTCGTGGTCTGTCCACCTTGAATGCCAACATAGGCACATTCGGTGCATCCGTTTATCGTTACGACGGAACACTTCCCGCTGCGATCGAAATCTTCCACCAGGAGAGTAGCCTGGAGAAGGACCTCGAGGGAGTGGCGGCCGACACAAACAGCACGGCGGAATGGACTGCCCAGGAGAGCAACAGCGTGACTGAATCCTTGGTGGGATTGGAGCCGATTATGCGAACCTCAATTGCTGCACTTGTGATGAAGGTTGGAAGCTATCCTGAAAACTGTCATTTTTCTGCGGAATATTCTGACAATTTGATTTCCAGAGAGATCTCTTCATCGGCGCCGGCGTGGGCTCTGCAGTGAGGCTTAATCTGGTCAACATGAGGAGCCGGACAATTGCCCTTTCTGTGGCACTGCAGAATAAGGCTGTTGGTGCTGATAAGGAGACCATCCGACAAGGGACCGGGGATGTGGACGACGCTTATGACAGTGCGATTGATTCGTATGAGTCCCGGCTGTGAGCATGCCTGTGCCGCCTGTGGCTTGGTCAAAATGTCCTCAAGGCATCGATCAGGCATCCGGAATATCTGTTCAAGAATAGCTATTCTCAATGCAAAAGCTGTTGACGTGTGGTCGATTTCTCAGTAGTGGATGGTAGTCCACATCCAGCATGTTTGGCTTTATGAGGGTAACGGACGTGATCTATCAGTCCTGTGCATCCATATTAGTCCACACTCGGTATTGGGTTTGTCGCTACAAAAGTCCAATGGTTGATTTACAAAGGAACCGGGGCCGGCGCTTAGTTAACAGCTAGTTAGCTAACTAGCTAGTTAGCATATTGAAGAGCACTGATGTCTCGGCCCCCCCCCCCCCCCTTCCCGCGGCCAATGAGGGGCTCAATATGGGTCTACAACACCTACTTGATGCATGCCAATGCGATAGCTACAGCTAGGTTACCAATGATCGATAGAGTTGATATTGAGCGCTCTATTGTTCCCATCCTCGGCGATGTAGGGCGAGAGGGGAATGTGTCGAGCCGAGGTGCTTCTCCCCGACGCGAGCGGGGTTGGAAGTTGGTACAAAGTCGCCCAGCAGGAAGAAAGCATTTCCCATCTCTCGATTCACCGCATTTCACTTCCCCTGAAGTCGTTCTAATACCACTCACTCTCATCATGCCCTCCAACTACGTTCACCATGTGGGGAACCATGATTATACTCGTGCTACTGTCGTGATTATCGGGGCTGGCGTATCAGGTATGACATTATCCCCTTGCCTTGCTTGTGACCAGAAAAATTATAAACTCTGTTGCTAACAATTCCCCAGGTATATGCATGGCAATCGACCTCCTCCGTCGAACCCCCATCCGGAAGTTCGTCATACTCGAGCAGGGAAGCGCTGTGGGAGGAACCTGGGCCAACAATCTCTACCCAGGCTGTGCCTGCGACGGTCAGAAGCGACCGGCCCAACATGTTCGCGCGTATAAAAGCTAACAGCCGTGTAGTCCGGAGCGCCCTGTACAGCTATTCATTTGAGCAGCGTCCCGACTGGACAGCTGAGTATCCGGCGCAGGAAGAGTTTCTGGTAATCCTGCCTTGCTTTCAATGCATTTAAGACGCTGACGCACCTGTAGGCATACCTCACGGATATTGCTCAGAAATACGGCCTCTATCAATACATCCGGTTCAACTCGACCGTACAGGAAGCCCGCTGGGACGACCAGCAACAGCAATGGAAGGTCCAGGTTGCCCTGAATGGCACCAAGGCTAGCGAATTCCATGAGGAGTATGAGCTCGCCACGGACTTCTTGGTATCCGCCGTCGGACAACTCAATGTGCCCAGCTATCCCTCAATCCCAGGTCTGGATCATTTTACCGGCAAGTTGATTCACTCAGCCAGATGGGACTGGACCTACGACTTCTCCGGCAAACGAATTGCGGTTATCGGAAATGGTATTTACTCCGTTCTCACTAGAAAACTCAGCATCATATATTGACAGCTATGCCAGGCGCCTCAGCAATCCAGATTGTCCCTGAAATAGCCAAAACCGCCTCTCATATAACCATCTACCAACGCAGTCCGAAATGGGTCGTTCCGCGCTTCAACAAGCCGGTCGGCGCTTTCCAGCAGTTCCTACTGTCATATGTACCTCCCGTGCGCTGGTGCAAGAGAGTCCTGCAGATGCGTTTCCGAGAATGGACATACAACATCCTCGTCACCCCCGGCACGGTCCCGGCCCGCGAAGCTGAGGAAGCTGCAGAGGAATGGATGAAAACCCAGTTGCCCGACAAGCCCGAATTGTTGGACACTCTGACCCCCAACTATGCCATAGGATGCAAGCGCATTCTCATTTCCGACGACTTCTATTCAGCGTTGAATTCGAGTCACGTTGACCTCAATACCAAGCCAATCCAGCGTATCACAGCCACGGGTGTCCAAACGGAGGGCGACGAGCAAGCGTATGATCTCATCGTGTTGGCCACTGGATTCCGTGCTTCGGAATTCCTGCACCCGATCCGGGTGTACGGTGCTGGCGGCCGGGCACTAAAAGATATCTGGAAGGGTGGACCAAGAGCTTACTACGGTATGACTGTTGAGGATGTGCCGAACTTCGGCATGCTCTACGGACCCAACACAAACTTGGGTGTGTCCATCCTTTCATAAAGACCTTCAAGGACACATGCACTGACAGAGATAGGCCACAACTCCATCATCCTCATGATCGAAGCCCAATCACGATACATAAGCACATTGATCCGAGCCGTAGCCGATGCGAAGAGAAAGGACCAAACACTGGTTATTCAACCTCGCCCAGAAGTGCTACGCGAATACAACGACCGGGTCCAGAAACAGTTGGCAGAAACCAGTTTCGCTGACCCAAACTGCCAAAGTTGGTACAAGACTGATGAGGGCCTGATCACGAACAACTGGCCATTCAAGGTCGTGGAGTACCAGAAGGAGGTGTCTCAGGTGCGATGGACGGACTTCCTTTTCAAGGGCGATGGGGCTGCGACAGTGGAGAAGAAGAAGGCGACGCACGTTGGTCGGGTTAAGGAGGAGGTGCTGATCAGTAATATTACGTTGTTTTTGGGGGTGGCTTTGGCGGCTGGAGGAGTTTACTGGCGTGCTACGAGGGGGTGGAAGTGGTAGGCTTTAGGCTGCTGCTTCGTGATACGGATTTATTGTAATGTCTTGAGTCGTAATAGTGAATAGGCATGCTCGTGTGTCTAAGTAGAGAGACGCCTCCTGTAGACAAAGTAGATGTGGATGGGTCTGACCTTCTGCCCATGGTTTCTTTACTATCTTACTACGCTACTAATTAACCCGGATCATAATATTTCACTGTGTTAATATATAGTCATCTATTCAAACATAATTTTTAGACCCTTCAAACAACCTCCCAGAGTGTCTAGAAGCTGGAACCTCCGCAGCAACAATCTCAGCTATCCCAGTCACCAGATCCACCTCCTCACACGGAATGAACCAAGATCCTCCCCACCCAGTATACAATCCATGCCCTAAACAAAAGACCACAAAAATCGGAATCCCCAAACACGAAGTAACGAACGTCGAGGTATCCCACTGCCCCGGAAAGAAGACCGTAGACCCATTCAACCACAATAACAAAAAGATCAAACAGCCAGCAAAATACGCAGCATATGGCTGAAACCTCGACCGATACGGCAACCCCGCAACATCAAGTCCCTGCATCGTCGTGGCCTTTCGAAAGCGGATGTATATAACACATACACACACCCAGCTTACATACGCACCGCTATTCACGAGGTTGACGAACCAGTTGAATACTGTTGCGGCGGAGGAACTGACGTTCTGCTTCATAATATTCAAGTATATGATTCTAGTATAGTACAGCGAAGACAGACTGGATTAGGCTAGTCACACTCCAGGATTAGCCCTTCTGCCGTTCCATGTCAGTTCCCAACTATTTGCTTCCTATGCAAAGTGACAGAACCCCTTAAAGATCCTCAATCCCCGTTATTGCAGACTAACTATGCAGCAAAGCAGCATCAGGTATCCTCATACTTGCCACAGTATTCTCTTTCCATTACAAATCGAAGCTTCGGAGACATCACAGGTGGCTCTAAGGCTGGGAGCAGCATCCGGAATAATCATGGCTGGCGGGCTTCTCTGTAAGCTCCACACTCTTGTTGAATGCCTGTGTGGACGGAGGAACATCGTTCGCTGGATTGAAAAGGCAGAAGTTATAAGGGCTCAGCCGAACCTGTGCCATTTCGGCCGGCATAACGGGGAAGTCCTCTACACGTGGGTTATGAGTGAAGCCGCAAGTATGCCAGATGACAATATCATCGTTTCGGACCGAGTCTTGAGCTTCGCTAATCCATGATTTGATACCAGTACCGCCAAGGGATTGGTTCGTGTAGTCACCCGCTGGGAACAGCTGACGGTCCTTGTACTTCGTGGACTTGACTCGCCTTTTTCGTTGAATTTCAACACGCGAGGGGATGGTACTAACTAGAATCTAGATGCAAAACCATCAAAGATATCAATAAGAGTCATCTGTCTATCCTCGAGACGAATGGTGTGCTTTCGAAGCTTCAAGATTCATGGCTTACTATCCTGACGCCCATAGTCAGTATTCAATTGATATCTGCGGTGTGAAACATGTACATTGACGTAGCGATCCACATGACATCTGAGATTACTAGGATCCGAAGGGTGTGGACCCTTATGCTGATTCAATTTCCTATGAATCTTGCATTAAGCTGGTTTTCCTTGGAGCAACTTGATACCTAATGTGTATTTGCAGTTGAACGTAAAATAGTACGCAAACTTAGTACCCTATATTTCTATAGAAAAAGTAGCTTCCTGCTAGGATAGAGAAGAGCCATAGGCAAATGGACCCATTACATGCACACTCATCTTTAACACAAATTATCTCACATCATATGTAAATATTCACACCTGGGTTGACCCGAATGCTCTATCCTTCCGGGAGTGCTTTCTGCGGATCAACATGCAATTTCTCTCACTGTATTTAGTGAGATTTTAGGGCCTCAGATAGCTACATTGGGCGCACTGATTGTCAGCATGTGACATTCATATTCTGGGTGATGTCATGATCGACGACGTTTCGAAGGTCTCCCCGCGATGATTGAGTTGGCAAATCCCTCAGGGCGCAAGGATCTTCGCTGGGCTGGACTGCGATGCCCGGCTGACAGAGATCATATTACTAAGGGTGAGTGTTGAACAAGATATTTACTAGTTTACAATCCGAAGAACTACTGTTTGCTTACTAGTAGCTGTAGCGAAGTTACGAGACTTTGTCATGTGCCGAACGGATGGAGTGGTGGGATGGTGGGTGGGATATATATTTGGATGACTGAGGGCATCACTGCCACATCCTTTCAGTCATCCCACATCCTTCTTGATCAAACCCGAGCTGGTAGGTCAATAATAAGGAAAAAAGCACGATGGAGGATGGGACTAAGCTCGGAGCGCCTGATAGGTACAGCAATGTGCTCACTACTCTTGGCAATGCAGGGTCTACAAGGCAAGGCTGAGTGCCGCGGGGAACGAGGTCAAACGTGAAAGGCCCCTGGCAGTACCTCTGCGACATATTTTAGCAGTGTAACATGTCATATAATAAAATTAAATCTTTGAAAGAGCATTAGGTAACACCCAAATCGCCAACAAAAGCATTAGGCAACACAAACGGTGACACGTTTTCTGCCTGCGATACAGGATGGAACCAACATGACTAATTCTGTCAACGGCGCTTTGACGCATCCAAGCCAAGACCATGCAGGGCTTTGAGGGGTCAATGATCATCTTACTCAGGGTGTTTGTTGGTAGTGAGCTGCACACTCATCTTCGGGTTTTAAGAGGTGATGGCGGTGATGTCCGGATCCATGCCATGTATCCGCCGCGATCCACCACGTCTATAATTAATGACAGAGAGAGACAACAAGAGAGTCAAAGAGCCGGGAATAAGAGAGGAATCCGGTGGGACTGCCGTGTGCCAAGGACATTGTTCCTCTTTTTTCCTCCCCAATAGGTTTGACAACCCGGAGGTGCTTCCCACATCAGCATCAGGTCTCGTGCAGGTGAGTTGCTTGAGGAGAATAATCCCGATGGATGAGCGGGGAAGCGAGACTGCAGCTGGTCCCATGTATCCCTGCAAATGAGCGGATTCTAACATCATATGAAGGAAACCACACGTGCTACATGCTGCTTGCTGCTTGCTGCAGTTTAGAATTGAACCTACAATTACACACAACCATAACGGCACGTCAATGCATGATGTAACGTGGGAGACTGTTCACTGGCCAAAAGAGGAGAGAGGCAATAGCAATTGGGCAGAAGGGGGCTATGTAAGACAGGTTGAAGTGAGACAACGGGAAGAGGCAGAGGGAAAATTGTGAATAACAACAATCAAAAGGGAATAAATGAACGGACAAGAGATTTCTCTGGAAGCCTTGGCAGTGGAGCATTCACGGGCGGTCTGTTTACTGATTGGTGAGAGCGGATGTAACCCCCCGCTCGGGGGCCCCAAAAAGGAATGTGGTCACGCCCGGAGGGACCAAACTAAACTCCTCTGGGGCATCAGACCTCCCTTTTGGGATAAAAATAAAAGATGCATCTTTTGATTCCAACTGAAAGGGAAGGTCCTCACCACGTGTTCTTGGGGGGGGAGACAAGCCTGCGGATCGTTGGTGATAGTGGCAACTAGACCGAGAGAGCTGTTTGCTTGTATCTATCGATCGGTGGGGGACAAAATCATTCTCAAACATGAAATCAATCTAGTGGTACCCCTATTGCAATCAATGGAACACGATGTTTGGGATGGATGGATTTGCCCCGGAACACACGACCGATGATAATTGCAGTTAAGATTTCCCCTGTCTCAGACTGACTTCCCAGGGTCTGCGGGTCTTGGCCCGGAGGCTGATTGGTTTTCGGGGCACGTCTGGCAACGCCGCTGCTTCTAATTTTACCGGCTCTCGCCTGCACAGCCAATGGCTTCCCATCTTACTGGTGGATCATCAGGGTCCAGGGCCCTCAGGGTCCAACTTTCTCTGCGCCAGGCATCCATCGCAAGTCATCCTCGGTCATTAGTCCTGTGTAGTGCTGTGTAGTGCTGGGTAGTACTGTGTAGTAGAGACCACTAGTCTCGGAGCACTACTGGTAGTCCACAAGTCACTAGATCGCTTGAAGGTTGGCACACCGTGAACCACCCTGTTTTAGAGTTCGCAGGTTCGTTGGACTGGCCAGCGTGCTATATTGCCTGTTTGGATGCAGGGCTGTGAATTGAAACTGCGGCTCTATCCGTGATTGCTGGCTGTGAGAAAGACTCCACCTCCTCAGGCCTCCATCATCATAGCGTCCTGCTCTTCTTTCTCCATCTCTCTCCTCTTTTTCTTTCTCCTCCTGCTCCTCTTCTTCCTCCTCTCTTCCTGAAGAACCCCTCATTCCCTTCTCCATTGACGCCTTCTTCCATCATTCCGGGCTCTCATCCCGGTCACGCCATCTCCGTCCCTCCACCCTTCAATGGGTGTGCTCTTAGTCCGTGGTGCCATGCGGTCCGTCTGCTGAGATACTGTGACTTTCCTGCTGCACCATGAAGTTCTTCAATCCCCTCCGTCGCTGTGGCCCTGCCCTACAGCGCCTGCGTACATCTCCTGGCGAGTTCTTCGACTACACATGGGAGTTCACACGCCGATATTTCTTCACTGTCTCCTTCATCGCACTTTTTGGCGCCAAATTGTTGCATCTTTACGCTCACATCCATTCTCTCCCTCCTCCTAAATTCTTCCTCTGGGGTTCGACCTTTTTCTTCCAGGATGTAATTCTCACCCTCCTCATCCGCTTTTTCACTCAGAAATTTCATTGGCGCACTGTTGCACTTTTATCAGCTTTGGTGATTGTACCATTTAGGTAGGCTGTGCACATACCAGAAAATGCCTGTCAATCACTAATAAATCTAGTTTAATCATGTCCGGAATGACCGCCGCAAATACCTCCTTTTACATCGTCACCGGTGCCGAAATTCACTGGCGACAAGCCAAAACCTTCCACCGCGATGCCGCTGCCGTGCGCACATTGTTGCAGGGACTGACAGGATTCCTGATCGTGGAAGGCATTCTGCTCACTGTAGCATGGTTTCTGTCTGCACCACTGCATCGCGTTGTTGGT